ACGGGTTATTTTCACGTGGTCACCAGTTTTTCTTGCCGAAGGTATGGCACTGCATCTGAAGACCGAATTGGTGATTCGCACAAAGCTTGTGTATCTGTAGTTGATAATTTGCACTCACAATACGTTGTTTTTCAGACCTTATAGGGTTTTAAACATGCCTGTGAGGTTCTGTAGAGCAATCGTTTTCTGAGACCAAGTTACGAACCAAGCATGTAGACCGGGAAACAAGCGAAGGTTGGTTAACATTATTTGAGTTGATTTTGTGATTTTGTGGCAGCCACAAGATGTTAAAACTGCATGTAATAATTATGAGGCAATGAATATAATCGATTTCCAGGACAACAAGAACCCATGGCTTGACTTCTTAACCGTCCCGACGAATAGTAATAAAAACAGTATTCTCATACACAAATGGGTATCTCCCTTTTTCGTAGGAGCTATTTTATCCCATTTTTATTGATTTTATGGGATCATAAACTGGCTGTGTTTTTAGCAAATTGTCTAGTTTTGCTTGTGATAGCATTACTCAGCGGGGAGTGAAACCAATTCAACGTCACAAACACAATCTTAAGAGGCATTTTGCATAATGAATTAGCATCAATATCACTGGTTCACGACATCACACTTGACCATGAGGAGCCTTAATTTAACATGTTCTGCCCCACAGATATCAGTGGACCGAATTTATTTCCCCGTCATCATATTGGCTGGTCAGCAACGCCACCCTCCCTCCTTTTGTGATGTTAGGCTCTCTTACCTTTGTGGTGTGTATGAATATTGCTTCAATCTAAGCTCCTTGTGGGAATATACTGTCTCTACTAGTTTCATGTCACAAGCAAATCAGATGGTCAAAGCATTTGTATTATGGGTTAAACATCCATTTGGTATATCACACTGCTATGAAGATAACTAATGGTATAAGTTATAAAACACAAGTCAGATTAAATGTGGTTTAGAGATGATAAGGATAAATGGCAAATCAAAGAATATGCAAGAGTTTAGAATTGCAAATTTTTGGGAGTAAGAAAACAAAACATTGAGCGACTCACAAGAACCTAAGACATTATGAGCTTCTTATCATTGACCTTAGCTGATCAGCATCCATGAGGTTAGTGAGTTATTTGAATACCTGTGATGGAAAAAAGAGGACATGTCACTCAGAAGGAATAATTCGGTGATCCTTTAACTCTCGTGGACGAACAGTGGCTGTCAACCAGCATTCTCAATGAATTTATGTTCTGTGCAATCTTTTCCAGTTGTTTCCAGCTTCTTTTCATTCTTTTGAAGTCTGCTTAAACCAGAATGTATCTTCTCATGTCCACAGCTATTAAATTAGTTTTTCTGTCTTTCATGGCTTAAATAACCGTAAATATAAATAAGGTTTGTAATAGCTAAAGGGTGGCCGTCGGTACTTAACATGATAGATGAAGAATGCTGGAGGGCAAGATTGGATCTGGTATTCGTTAAGATGTGTACGATAACATTTGTACGTTAGTGAATGAAAAGGAGACTGGTGCATGAAACCCGTCAGACTTAACGTAATAATTTTAATGCAAACATGAAGTATTGAATTAATGAAGACACTATAAGAATATAATATGTTCCACTAAAAAGTGCTGCTAACTTTGAGTAGAAACTAGAGACAGATAAAAATAGGACTAACGTGAAAATGTGTTACAGTCTTTGATGTACGCAACGCTAATTTCTTACGGCGGCAAATTCTGGTGATTATTACCATTATTTATAATATATTGTACTAGAAAGTCTCAATATGCTTACAGTGTATAATTTGTTACACATCCGTGTACACGTAACAGTACGTATATTTAATATATTTTCATTGCATGGTGAAGAAGCGCACATGTAGTAACTTCTAGACTGCTATTCTGTAAAGACTTCCGCATTCAGCCATCTGTGAAGCCGTTTAGTGTTGGACATTTCTAGGGTCAGCGAAATTTCACTGAGATCTAGTCAAATCATCCGTAAGTTGGGTCACTGAATATCGAGCAGATCGTCGATGGTCGTCAAGATCAAGGGCAACCAACAAGCGTCATTTAATCGTATGTTGTGGACTGGCTCATGCGATGGCAGTTCCACTATATTCTCTATATTCATTTTTACTAAAATGTTTCCGCGATAGCGTCCTTTGCGTTGTACGGTCTTCAAAGATTCCATAGTATCTTGATGTGATGAAGGAGTAATCCACGCTAGGTGCTGACCGTGGGGTATAATTTTGACATTAACTGTTGATCACACCACTCCCGTCTAACTGGAGTAGGCCCCCAATCATTCGACAGAGGTTAAAGTTGGTGATGTACAGGTTTAAGAGAGAAACGTTTTAGCACTGTCGGTTGCAACCCATACTCATACCACACGATCTCTGAAGCTGACCATACAACTGATGCAAAGATTTACATTCAACAAGAAATGTGAGTGATGTGTGACAGAAATGTACTTCAACGCTAGCTTGATTAAAGTGTCATTTCAATAATGTGATGTCTGATGGATTATGTAAATGTGACTCTAATACATCTAGTATTTCCAAGATGAAGACAAACTACGAAGAAGAACTCCAAGTAATCGTAATAAAATATGAACAATAGGGACACATATAATAAAAATTGGGATAAACACCAAAAATTCACTCCACATTACGTATATATTTTAAATCCAAACTAAGGTTTGGACTGAAGAATAGCTGTCTAGATGGGTTACATACGCGCCCTCGCCTGGTTGAAACCAAAACAAAGTGATTGGGTAAAATGACGGTTCTGAAATTCATCATAAATTTCTATGTACACTGTTACCCAAATAAATATGACCACCCAGCTATTCAACCAATAATTGTTCAAGCAATCAAATCTAAATTACAATAAATAAGGAGGTTGATAAAGGATGTGAGAAAATTACCAATCGCAACAAACAAATGTTGTTCTATCCTGTCTGGACGGACCGCGCACAGATTCGTTCAAAAGATAATTTTTGCTTGCTTTATAACACAGTGTTTCCAATTCTGGAAGGGTGTTCCGATTCACAACCATATATATATATATATATATATATATATATAATGGTTCTGAATGTATCTATTTGACACGTAAAACCTGAGTAAATCTCCTGAACCCACCACTTCCCACACCCCTTTTTCAGATATAATGGGATTTATCAATCGGGAGTGATTATCATTGAACTTGACAAAATTCAGAGAATTACTCCATGTTAAGAAGTCAGTTTTCCGAACATTTTATTACGGTCCAGTGGTCTTACTGACTTCGCAAGGGTACTATAGGGAACTAAAAGATTCACTATATTTGAGATGACCAATCGTGACAGACAAGTAAGACAGTTTTACCGAGCTTTGTCTTAGGAAACCACATTTCACGTATTTCCTTCACTTATGTTCCTGTACCATTCGGATTCATAAAGATATTGGAAAATGACTCCGATCGGATCAGGAAATTATAGAATTTCGGCCACCTGCTTTTGGACGAGGTTTTTAGTCTGTATCTTAGGTAATACAGTTTGTCTACTATTTCGTATTCGTATACTCAATCTATAAATAAAAGTTTGGAAAAGCGACTACTGACATCCTAAAGATGTCATAGGTATTCAGAGTTTGGCAACACCTTTACACATTCCACCTTTATGAACAAGGTATGCCAGCTCAGCGCATCCTGAAAATAAACCGGGTGTATAAGATGCTCATCACTAGGCATTCCACTTTCACAATCAATTACAGTTATGAAAATTAAGTATTCAAGGAAAAATATAGCAAAAATGTAAGCAATAAAATAAAAATTTTGACAACAATTTAGTCACCGTAAACAGGATAAGCTATTCATTACTTATGGATGCGTTCTAATAACTCGTTTCTGTCTGAAGTTTGCGTTAATGATGAAATTTGGTTGAACAATGATAGCTTCACAATAAGACTATCTAACACAGAGATGTCAAATCAAGAAAAATCACCATCATGAGTTACAAATCGCAGCCATCCGAGGTCTGAATACTTAGTAACAATCTGGATGATTTATAGCACATTTCTGATGTAGCCACATCCCCGAAGCACTAGCAAAATAACACTTCACTCGCCGTGTTGAGCATCCGTACAATTTAACTAATAATTCGAGAAACATTTCCAATATAGGTGATTTGACAGTTTATCATGAGCCTTTTTATGGTATGTTAGCTCAGTCAAATCAGAAGTCAGAAATGAAGCAGTTCGAAGATTTATTTGATAGGCTATCGACATGTTGAGAAGCGTTTGGTCGAAGTTGGCTAACAGTTGCAAGGGGTTCGTGGTACGGCGTACCAACTCGTGATCTGTTGAGGGTGCGTTACCGAGCGCATCTATCTGGGTGTGCCTGGTAGAACCAATAGGATCAATGACAATGTCGGGGACTTACAGGACTATTTATTTGGGGATTTATTTACTGCTACAGACTTCAACTCGTAACATAAGAATATGGAACCAAGGAGCCACAAACGCGAAAAAATAAACTACAATTGAACAGTCCTTCATTTTCAGAACCAACTTCAGGATTAAAAAGGTGCTCTAACGGAGTCCTGCTAAGGTAAAATGAACTACTGGTCAGTCAGTTTAAATTTATATTTTGTCTAGGTCGGTGCCTACAGTAACGTAGTCAATATTTTGATAGTGACACCTGTAACGCATTCGAATTGTTGCTACCCTGAAACCTAGTTTCTCATAATGTCTTAGTCATGTGCCATTTTCACTATGAATTGCCTTCGAATGTTTTTTATGGCTAAACACGATAGATCCATGTGTTATTAGTTAGTTATCTGGTAATTTTTTGTTCTTATATTCTAAGTTTCTTCAGAAAAGACTCTTCTTTCTTTTTACACGCAACACACAGCGTGCCTTTATGCCGGAAGCTAACCTCTCAGTATTTGCATCGCGCTTTTTATTCTACACGTAAGAAATTTCCAGCAGTTGGATTGAGTTGCACATTCCTTGTTATTATTAGCAACTAAAAATTATGCCTGCATACTCCTTCGACTACAAGTCCTACATGACAAACAACCTGTTGGGACATGACCAGGATATTCACTACAAAATGTCTAAAAAGATTGCACAATTGACAAAAGTGGTTTGCATGTTGAACTCACGTGGTGAGGATTCTGTTGATCTACTTAAGGAGACTTCCAAGCAACACGAGAATGAAATTATCAAACTAAAGAGTTCCTATGAACTGAAACTGAGAGATTTAGAGCTTAGACTTGAAGAGGAGAAAGGATTCGGGAACACCATAGCCTTCTTAGAAAAGAGTATTAGTGAAAAAGAGTTGGAAATCATCAACCTGGAATCTGTGAGTTATTTGTAATAGTTGAGTGTATTGTAATTTTTTTATGCCGTTGCAAAGTGCAGTTAATCACGCCAGACCCAAATTTAAACTTTATCCAACTTAAACTTTCACCTCTCCAGGCCAACTGGTTATGAAGGTTCCTGAAAATAAACCGGGTGTATAAGATGCTCATCACTAGGCATTCCACTTTCACAATCAATTACAGTTATGAAAATTAAGTATTCAAGGAAAAATATAGCAAAAATGTAAGCAATAAAATAAAAATTTTGACAACAATTTAGTCACCGTAAACAGGATAAGCTATTCATTACTTATGGATGCGTTCTAATAACTCGTTTCTGTCTGAAGTTTGCGTTAATGATGAAATTTGGTTGAACAATGATAGCTTCACAATAAGACTATCTAACACAGAGATGTCAAATCAAGAAAAATCACCATCATGAGTTACAAATCGCAGCCATCCGAGGTCTGAATACTTAGTAACAATCTGGATGATTTATAGCACATTTCTGATGTAGCCACATCCCCGAAGCACTAGCAAAATAACACTTCACTCGCCGTGTTGAGCATCCGTACAATTTAACTAATAATTCGAGAAACATTTCCAATATAGGTGATTTGACAGTTTATCATGAGCCTTTTTATGGAGTGACAGATAATCATTTTAGAGCGGGTGAGTAGATAAGACAAAAGTTACTTTACTAGAGTGTTTTTTACAGAAACGATCAGAAACCTCATCCAGTAAACTTCCTTTAGCTTATATACTCGTCCTAGTAAATCTGTTTCTCAGTTGAGTTATTAGGTAGCTGCACGGTCAGTGCCTTAAATCTGGCACACAACATTATTAGAGCTTCAGAAGGAGTCGGAAGAAGAACATAGTGTTCATAAACATTTAGCGATGGATGTTAAGTGGCTAAATTGTGGTTGAGTTAGTCGTATTACAACTTTTCTATTTACTCTGAAGTTCAGATTTTATAGATTCATTACTAGTTTATTTGTAAGAACTGTTGATAAAATCTACAATAAAACATATTAAAGCTACCCTCATGTGTAATAGCATTTTAGGGGCGTTGCTCATTTCTTTATCTGCCACAAGAAATCATATCAAATTAAAACCATCACTTTACAGACTGAAGCACTTAGTTGTCAAATGGATATTTAATTTTATTCGCGTCAGAAGTGCAATACATATATATCTTATCTATCATTTGGAGATTAGTTTGCTTAGATCAACTCTTTGATAGTTATGTAAACAGAATATACTCACTGGGAATATACTTGTTGACAAATGTTTAGCAATTAAAAATAATCATTTCAATAAATGAAACTAATGATGGTATCCTTTCAGTTTCTCATGAATTTCTAGATAGTCTATAATCTATCAATTACCACTCTTTATTACTATTTCTGTTAGTCCTAGTTAAATGCTTGGAAAAAGTTCATTCAGACTAATCAATCCTCCAGAGTTGATATATGAAATAGTTGTGAAACAGCGTCCTACCAGGTTAGCTTTGATTCCATATCTAAGAAATCTTCGGTAATTGTCGAAACGACATTTTGATCATAAACGTCTAAATATTTTGTTAAAATACTAATATAAGCTTTTAATTTCGATGAAATTATTTTCGCGGTCTAATAAGTTTTTATATATATATCGGCTGACCTGAAATAATTCTTTATATCCCATTTCAATAGCTTACTAACTTACGCCTCTTACCTCTCGTGGAGAAGCATAGGCTGCCTACTCGCATTCTCCATCGGTTTCTATTCTGGGCAATCCACTATATTTGTTTCCAATTGTTATTCATCTTTTTGATGTCTCTTTCCAATTCCCATCGCAGTGTGTTCTTTGGCCTTCCCATTTTCCGTTCCCTTTTAGGATTTGAAGTTAGCTCTTGCTTTGTGATCCAGTTTGATGATTTCCGTAATTTATGTCCTATCCACTTCCAGCGTCTTTTGCTAATTTTCTCTTCAGCTGGAAACTGGTCTGTTCTCTCCCACAGTAGACTGTTGCTGATGGTATCCGGCCAACGGATATTCAGCGTCTTGCGTAGACAGCTGTTTATAAATACTTGTAATTTCTTGATGATAGTTGTAGTAGTTCTCCAAGTCTCAGCTCTGTACAGTAGAACTGTCTTGATATTCGTATTGAAGATTGTGACTTTGTTGTCTGGCAGTTGTTTCGAGCTCCACATGTCCTTCATTTGTAGAAATGTGGCCCTTACTTTGCCAGTCCGTGCCTTGACATGTGTATTAGACCCCACGTTGTTGATCAATGATGCGGTCCAGGTACGTAAAACTCTCTATCTCTTCCAGAGGTCTTCCATCAAGTGTGATTGTGCTGGTATTCTCCGTGTTGTATTTGAGGATCCTACTTTTTCCCTTGTGTATGTTGAGGCTTACTGATGCAGAGGCTTTTGCTACACTGGTTATCATGACCTGCATTTGCTCATGTGTATGGGATAGAAGGGCTAGGTCATTTGCGAAGTCCAAATCGTCTGTTTGTATCCAAGCTGTCCATTGTATTCTGTGCTTTCCCTGAGATGTCGAAGTCTTGATAATCCAGTCAACCACCGGAAGAAAGAGAGAGATAGAGTAAGCAGGCTTGCCTGACACTAGTCTTCACTCGGAATACGTCTGTCAGCTGACCCCCATTCACGACTTTACTGTGTAGTCCGTCTCATGGATTCCGTATGATGCTGACAATCTTCTCAGGCACACTATAGTATATAAGAAGGTTCCATAAGGTCCTTCTATCCACACTGTCAAACACTTTCTCATAGTCGAAGAAAGTTGATGTATGGTGACGAATCCCATTCAATTGATTGCTTAAAAATGATCCGTAGTGTCGCGATTCGGTTTGTACACGACTGATACTTACGGAATTCGCCCTGTTGATCTTGAAGCTAGGTGTCTACTGCGTCTTTCACTCTGTTCAGCAACACTGTTGAAAACGTTTCTGGATACTGACAGTAGTGTAATACCTCTGTATTTCTCACACTCGCTGGGATCTTCTTACTTTGATATGTCGACGAGGTATCCTTCTTTCCAGTCCATCGGCACTTGGTCTTCCTTCAAGCACTAGCCATAGGAGATTCATAGGTAGAGCTATTTCAATAGCTACCTCAGAAATACTAAATTGCTTTCGAATTACTACGTCTTTTGGCAAACACCTGACAGCGTTAAGATGTGATCTTCCTTTTTATGATTGAATATTCTTTTGGTTTATGTTTTTATTCGCTGATGCTTCACAACAGCATGTTTCGTTCCATATTATCGGCCTCATCTACGCACAGGCAAACCAGAGCTCACGATATCAAGCCAATATTTGATTTATATGGACAGAAATTTTGAAAAAAGCTATTCATTTCTAACCGAATGACGATAGGTTGACGATATTTTCTGGCAGTTTACTACATATTTTGTTTTACTTATACAAAACCTGGAAAGAATGTGTTGTCTAGCTCTCTGTTTGCTGATATATACAAACGAGAACGAAAATCCACGTATACATATAAATATGGTCCAGATGATCTGGAATCCTACTTTTCTTTGTCACATTTTGTTTCCTGTTTTCTCAAGTTGTGATTACTCCAAATGGACATGATCATTTAAGTAAGAAAGAATTGCTCCATATACAGTGTGCTATTTTAAAGTTCGCATCATCATATCGTGTTTCGATGCCTATTTATATAAGAGAATCTGATATACTGGAGTTTTTTTCACCTGTTCTTGCTGTTTGTTTTTTAGACTGTAGTAAGTCTACCCAATAAAATAGTTGCCAAGACGTCTAATAATCATAGTTCTGTCATTATATTGAATATTAAATTTTCTAAATATGCTTTTAGTAACATAAACAAATAAAATGAATAAATACAGTTAAAACATGACTACATAGAGAGTTTGACTCTCAAAGGATGTCTATTGACAATGATATATCTAAACGAGTTCATCCTATAAACATATTTTCTTGCAGTAGTATGATTTGGGGAGTAAATGATACAAACAAATTTGCTGTTTGTTCTCAGAATAAATGAATAACATTTGAAAAAAGTTCTCATTTGTTATATTTAAATTGAACAGAAATGTAGTCAGCTAATAAATGAGCATCATTTAAAAGAAGATATGTTGAGAGTAAAACATAGTGAAGAAATAATTAAACTACAACAGACTATTGCTGAGCATAAAGAAAAATATGAAAAAGAATTAAATACAATTCGATGTCTTGCTGAACAGTGGAAATCTCACCAATGTCCAAGCACAGAACCGATTCTTAACGAGAAATTGCAACTGGAATGTGAATTTCAAAGATTACAAGAGAAGTATTCATCATTAGAAACGGAAGTAGAAGGTAAGTGTACAAAGTGTTTGTAAACGGTCCCCAAAATACAGTAAAGTTAAAATATAAGCCAATTGAGATGCTTAAAAACCAATGTGTAAATTATAAAACTACTTAATGAGTCGTTTGAAATTTTAGTCAACAAACCAACAGGTGGATTATTTCTTTTCGTGGCTATTCGGATGGGCCATACTTGAAAACTAAGTGGCCACTAAACTTTAATTGTAAACCCTTTATATTTAAAGAACTTTTATGGTATATAAATAATGAAGCAATGAGAAAATGCATTTGAGGATTGACTTTCGTTTTCATACAATCCTGTGTAGGCATTTCGTGGATCAAGTGACTTTGCTACTAAGATCGTTTGAGCAATTGTGTTTTACATGAAGCCCGTATTAAATCGAGAACATGACTATCATAAATACATTTAGGTGTAGGCATTATTCAAACAAAATACAGTTGGATGTTTAATCGCTTAATAGCATTTAGATACTTAAGCTAGAGAAGTTTCGGTGCTGTAGTTATAGAAAAGTTAATTCACATTCTGATGGTTAATATTATTGTAATTCGTAAAATTCCGAAGCCCGAATGATGAAATTTGTCTGGATATACGATATTATAAATAATAAGAATTTATAGATCATAAATCATACGATATTCGGGCCTTGATAATGATTCTAAAGGCATAGAAAAGAAAGCTCCTTTCTCAGGCGTTTATAGAGTCACAACACAAATCATAAATCAAGGGACAAAGTACTGTATTGTATAATGGATAGCAGCGATTAAAGAAGATAAATTCACATCTACCCATCGAAATGAGGTAAGTTGCTAAAAAATTAGTGAGTTTCAACAGGTAGCATATACAGTAGATACTAACCGATGAGCGAAAGAAACGGTAATATTACATGTAGGTAAACGAAGTAAAACGATAGAATTAAGAGTATACATGGATGGGGACAGTAATTTATATCGAATTGAAATAGACCCCACGTTCTGCAAAGTCGACAAAAATATCTGAAAACAACATAAGCTACTGAATATTAGTAAGTAGTATGATATGCTGTAGGGTAATCATTAGAAAAGATTAGTGCTAAACAGATTGAAGACAATGTAACAACCAGTAGAAATCGGAAACTAGTGTGCTGTTGTCTAATGGTTATTTTCCACCCGTTTTCTTTTTAAAGCTCAAAGATGAGGCTCAGGATGCTTGAGATGTTTGTCAGAAACAGTATTTATCAGATCAAGTGACTTATTTCGACAGAATTATGCATTTGTAACTCCACTTCCTTTGTAATATTATTGAGTTTTGTCCTAAAGTTGCCTCGGAATATCGCAACTGGGACAACTGGTTTGTTTGATGGAAATTCAGGTAACCCTTCTTTAGGTAATTAATTCCTTAGCATAGAAGTATATTGTAAGTAGGCTATTGCTACAGACAAAACCTAACGGGATATTTCGTGGTTACAAATAATAACAGTTGTTCATTATGCTACGTTATTTTGTCTGCTGATAATTTTAAGAGATTGGTGGATGTCAATAGTATTTTCAATGTTAATTTAATGAAAAGGTATTGCACTCTTTGGAGCTATTAAACTATTTTAGTCTTAAATTTTTTGGAACGTGATTGTAAATGAGAACATGTACTCTTGCCTTCGTTTTTTAAATGTATATGCCTTCTGATATACGAATAAATTACCAAAATTATCAATAGACAGAATAATATAGCTTATATTTGTTCCAATGAAAAAGTAGAAATTTAAAAATTCAAATGGGATTTATATGCCTAGAAAGAAATAGTCATCAGTTTATCATTCTCTTACTCGCTCATTTCATTAAACATGTGTAAACTCTTCAAAACTTTCAGAATTATCACATAACCCATCTTATCAGTTAAGGAATCTAAATAATTACTACTTCACTACTCTACGTTTTCTACGTTTATGTTCAAACGATCTTAAACTTTTGTAAACTCTAAGTCTTCCAAGCTACTACCTAATTTTATTAGTGTCCAAACTCCATGTATATGTTACTGATAACTGTTGTTATTCCAACTCTTCTTGACACGTGTCTACTACTCTGTGTTATATTACATTTAAGTGTTACACTTTTACATGAATGCATTTATAAGGCTCTGAAAATAAACCACAATATATAATGAATTTACATTACTCTGTATTAATTGTTATTTTGGCTTTATTCAACTTCACAAAACGGATCAACTGTAGGGAACTTATATTTCAATAGTTTTCAAAGTAGTTGGAAGTTATCAGTGTCATTTTATTTTCTTCTTTATCAATATACTTTATGAAATATAGAATGTTTACAGTCTGTAAATTATTTGTATTTAATATCAGAAAGGGGTCAATGTCTAACTTCAACCAATCCACAAAATTGAGCCACACGTTGACTATTGTCTTCAGTGAGTTACTATCTCACAACAGACCCGATTTAACTCCACTGGTCACTGTTTCCCACTAGAACTCCTGGAAATACCTCTTGAAACCAGCTACTAGTGAGCATACGCTGATTAGTATCAGAAAGTGGTTTTTGTGGATATTATAGTAAATTAATAGTTGAGATCATGTGGCTAGAGGTTAAGCATTCGCTCACAAGATCTATAGGTTTTGGGTTCGAATCCCGCGAGTTGGGATCGTAGGTGCAACTTGACGAGGAATCTTAAAATAGAACAAAATGGTCACCCAGTGTTCCCAGGTTTTCGAGGGTAGTCTAGCTTCAATTGACTTATGATCTCAACTATTTGCATTTAATACATTTTTTATTCCTTCCATTTAACATATAAATTTATATTATAATTTAGATAGAATCAAAGCTCTTACAGATACGTATGAATGTAAAATCCAAGAACTTATCAAAAATATTAAAGATGAAGAAAATAGAAAAGAAAATGAACTATTAGAAATCAATAAAAAACTTTTACAAGACTTAAAAAATCAACAATATATCTATGATCAATCAATTATTAGATATAATCAAGAAAAAAATGAATTAAGCAATTTTATAAAACATAATACAGAAATTAATTTAAACAATATTTGGCAAGGTCGATTAAATCAAGAAAGAGAAGAATTTCAAATAGAATTATCAAAATTACATAAATTAAATGAAGAAATCAAGTATAATTTAGAGAATCATATTGAAAGTTCAAAAGTAAAATATGATAAAGTATGTATTGATATATATATGTACTTGGAATTCTTCGAGTATTTATCAGTATAGGGGTTTTGAATATTATTGTTTTTGACTGAGATCATGAACCGATTGATGTTAGACTACCTACTGGACCACTGAGCCACCATCCAATTGTGTTAGTGCCTAACATCAACCAATCCACGAAATTGCGCGACCATCTTCCATCATACTGACAATTAACATATGCTCACTGGTGACTAGCTTCGTGAGGGAATTCTCAGAGTTCTAATGAGAAGCCATGACCGGTGGAGCTGATCCCTGTCGGGTAAAGACAGGTATCTACCGTAGTACAATAGAAGATGGTCGCGCAATTTTGTGGATTGGTTGATGTTAGGCACTAACACAATTGGATGCCGGTCCAGCGGTTCAGTAGGTTAAGCGTTCGCACGGGGGACTGAAGGCCTTGGGTTCGAACTCCGCAGGTGGGACTGTGGTTACGCACTGCCGTCCAGTGCTTCCAGGTTTCCAACGGTGTTCTAACAACAATCGGCCCATGATCTCAGTCGAATATTTATCATTGTACATTGAATTATGTCAAAGCACTGAACGCTATCCCAGTCGGTCGAAAAGTAAATTCACCATTGACAATTGAATTGCATTATTTAGATGAAATAATAGACGGACTTATTATTGACTGAGAGAGTATTTAGTTTAAATAGTGTCAAAATCGGATAGGGAGTAGAAATCAGAATGGAATTTGACTTTAAACATTTGTGTCCATGACTCTAGAAAAGCAATAATCTTTGATTTGTTTCATCCATTTCGGTTGCTGGTTTGGTGGTAATTATATGATCACCGGATTACTAGCTGCCATTGTGTATACTCAGGGAATTAATTTTTTTTGATCTGTAAGGATTTTGTGTACTTTTCTTGTGGTCCATGTTCTTTGAAACCATAGTTCTTCGATGTTGCGCTTGCTTATTTTGTCTGGTATTTTGTGAATGTCCTATATATATGAAAAGAGGTCAAATCAAAGTTGTCTAAAGAAATTTATTTAATCTCTGTGAAAAACTGAAGTTACCACTTATTGTGCTCTGTTTTAAATTGTTTAGTTTCTTCTAGTGTACATGAAATTCAAGTTTACAAGTCGTAAGCCATTTTAATTATTTTCGAGCTGTTGCCTTAAATCTCAAGGTACCAACTACATCTCGACAAGCGCCGTCATAAAGTTTGCTTGGATCCTTCCATATATATCTTCAACACAAGGTCAAAAACCTAAAGTAGCATGATTGAGTTGTATTTGCATCGTCGAAAACTCTACATTTTTCATGTAAGCCAATACAAACGACAGAGAACAAAACACCCTCTTCATCATAGAATAAGATTGTGTAAATAATAAGTCTCGCCTCATTCTGGTTGGTTGTCAGGTGCAACCCCAGTTACTCGGTTTTTATAGTTCCATACATTACATAACCTGTTACTGAATGAATGTTATAAATTGCAGTTACATTATTACTTCACTTACTGTACATTATCTAAATTTATTCAAATTAATAATTTCAATGTACCACATGGGAACTTATTTTAAAAAAAAGAGAATATTCTTTGTTTAAATATTTGTTTTAGGTAGATTAGGAATATTTAAATTATTAAAAATAAATATAGAAGGGCATAATATGTGTTCTAAATACTTTTTAATTTGTTTTAATACCTTTCTGAGGTATCTTTCATATTTCATTGGAAAATCCTAAACATTAATTGAATTGTAAGGTATATTAATTTGTGACCGAGTAATACTTTCTAAAATTATCAATGTTCCAATCAACTAACTTAGGCTCAATTTAATACATATTTAACCTCAAATCAACAAAATTATTGATTATAATAAAGATGTAACTGATGATGTTGAAATGTCAAACGATAAATAACTGTGGTCAAGCTAATAAACACAAACTTAGTAAATATTTCTTCTTAGATTTAATGCTAAATATTATCGACATTTTAATCCATTTTTGTATTGGTTGTTTGAATTTTCCCATTGATGTTTAGGACTGCAATTAATTAGTCTAATATTGGCATATATTCATCCTGTACAAATTTCTTTGATATCGCCTGAAGTCACTAGCATAATAGGCAATGATAGATAATGGTTAGCAGTGAAATTCAAATAGAATGCAGCGCGCCTCCTGGAACGGTAATGAGTTCAAGTGCTAGTGTGAACATCAATTCTGAGATGCAGGTGCATCCAGCTAACGAGTCCTATGTAGGATGAAACGCTCATCTTTGATTCTATTACTAGTCACTATATTGCCTTTGCTTATTATTGACATTATTTAGAATATGAGAATAAAAGTTTTTTTTCGGGGTAATTATAAAAACTATCAAGAGTTGAACATTAAATTGTTCAATGTTTCAATTATTTATTTTTATTTATTAGCTTAATGCAGAATATATAAATTATCAAAAGGAAACAAAATTAGAATATGAAAAATTTCATAGAAAAATTATTGATTTACAATTAATTGAAGAGAATTTAAAGAAAGAATTAATTATAAAAAATGATGAACAAATGAATTTAGAAAAAGAAGTAAATTATATCAGTTTGTTTTGATTTCAATTGTTTATGTTAGTTTTTGTTTTTTTGTGTTTTTTTCTTCATTTAATTATTTCAATAGTTGAGATCATTAGTCAATTGAAGCTAGACCACCATGAAAAACCTGGAAGCACTGAACGGTCGTTTCGTCCTATCGTGGGACTCCTTAGCAGTGCGCATCCACGACCTCGCCTCGCGAAATTCGAACCCAGGACTTATGGTACGAAACAGCCGTTCAGTGCTTCCAGGTTTCCCATGGTGATATAGCCTCAATTGACTCATGATCTCAACTATTGAAATTAATACAATCTCCACAAAACTGATATGAATTAACATATGCTCACTAGTGACTAGCTCCAATAGGTATTTCCTAAAGTTCTAGTGAGGAGCAGCGACTATGGTGAACACGGACACCACTGGGGACAATCGAATCTATTTGACACAAATTTACAGGACTTGTTAATAAAATCTAACAATCAAATAGTAAATACGTAATTTGCAAGATGTCCATCATTTGTCTCATAATGACTTAGACTTCATGGTTCTTGCATTTTCATACAAATTGCATTCTGTTACCATTCTTTACTGTTCGGTCCTCTTGTCTCTCTGCTGCCAGACATTCTGTTCCTGACTAACATATACTACTTATGTCGATATAAGTAGCACACACCACAGGACTAGTGGAGTTCAACCGGGTCTGTTGTGAGATAGTAACTCACTGATCACAATAGTGCACGTGTCACTCAATTCGTGGATTGGTTGAAGTTTGACATTAACACCGTTGGATGCCGTCCGTGTCAGTGGTCTAGTGGTTATGCGCTCGCGCGCGACATTGCTAGGTCCTGGGCTCGAAAGTCGCGTGGGGGGTTGCAGGATCGTGGTTGCGCACTACTGAGGAGTCCTACAACAGGACGAAACAGACGTCCAGTGCTTCCAGGTTTTCCATGGTGGTCTAACTGCAATTGACTCATGATCTCAACCATTGGAATTACTATAATATCCATAAAACCCTTTGATATTTAATTATTTATTGATTTTTATGACATTGATAAAATCAATTTTTCTCCAACTAGTTGAATATAATATCCAAAAATATATGATAACTTATGGGAGATTGATAATGTTTGTCTAGTATAATCAATGCTTACTACATCTTTGTGTTAAATAGACAGAACATTGGGTTGACAAATATAATGTTAGAACTAAACATTAATATTTAGAAATGAGAAATCTTAATAGCATATAAAAGTAGATGTTCATGAGATTGGTTTGATTTACTGAAGAAACCGTAATCATAAGCTCCTAAAAAGGTGAAATATATTTAAAGAATACAATTTGGAGCTGATTGAAAAATATACAAATGAATAGATAGCTAAAAAAGTGATAATATTAAGATTCGAACACTGATAATAATCTACTTTGAAACTCATTTTTTATATCTAGAGATTAGGTTTCTAATATACTGCGTACAGCTTGAGCACTCGAACACTAAAACCATACCAAGTTGCGAATGAGAAGACAGAAGAAGACAGGAGAAAGTACTTGTTGAGCATGAATAAAAATGTACAGAAAATCATGGGAATTTATAGATATTAGCGTTTGTTAAATCAACATTATAATTCAACCAATCCTCAGAGTCATGTTATGCCACTGATCAGTAGTAGCATACCACGTTAATATTCTAGAAAGCTTCATTGCGTTCTGATTGGGTGGAACTCTTCAGCTCTTCTAGGGCCTCTGAAGGTTTCGTCGTAGTTCTTGGAAGCCATCTCAACACATTTGACAATAATAACGGGAGAATTGATTATTTTCAGTTGAAAGTTGAGAAGAACAAGCTTAATAAGGACATGGTTATTAATGAGAAATTATTTTGTTTTATCAAAGCAGAATAGTTTTGATTAATAATCTACAATTTGACCAAGTAATTACCTTAATATCTTTAAGAATCTGTATATTCAAATAAGGATAGGATAGTAATTAAAGAAGTATAAAATTATGAAACCTCCGTCCTGGTAAAAATATGGGATAATTTGATTGTCAAGATAAATGACAGGGAGTCATACACTGTTCTATTACAGTCAAAAGAACAACGAATAAAGATGAAAATGACATGGATAACTTTGCACTGCGTATATAAACAGAAGTAATCAAAAGATTGTTTTCATGTAAACACCTTATATCAACATAAGAGCATCGCAGAAAGCTGAATAAAAATGAAGATAAATATTGCTGGTTGAAATCTTTGTAGTTTTTTGGTTAATATTCAGTCTGTATTAGTATATAGGCTTTATGTACGAATGCGCCAATATAACATGCACTTACACCTTCAGTATTAGCAAGTTTCAATCTCTGAAAAGCGAGTTTTTAGCTCTTAAGCTGGGTGTCATTCTAACATGATGGACAAAACTCGTAGCTTAGGTAGATGCTTTTGGTAGTTTTCATCTTTTGAGTCATTTAGTTTAACTAATAAGCTTTTATTGCCTTTTTGAACCTCATCAAGGTTCATTTCATGATGCAGTATATATATATATATATATATATATATATATATATATATAGTTCAAATTTTAAGTTTCACTGAAACAACCAAAATTTTACAACTCAAACTTCATTATGAGAAGAAACTTTAGAATTATTTAGTTTTTATTGCTGAAAATTTATTAAATATAATCTCAGTTATTTATACCTACTCGTTAGTAAAAGTTTATGAATTAGTTATTAACCATCTAGAAGAATTTCTAGTCTTACAGACTCATTAATCCTTGAATCTTTAGAAATTCCAACAAATTCACCAACCATTATTATCAGTGATGAAATGCAAACTAAGCAGTAGTGCAACTCTAAACACTTAGAATTCATTTGAATAATCATGATTCTTCCAGATTTAATCAGTGTATACTTGCATACTTTCTGTTGACTAATGTTTGTAATTAATCTGTTCAGTTGAATTAAACAATTGAATAATTTGTACACTATTTCAATGAAATACCCTCATTATGAATAAAAACATCCAATCGAATAGTTGTAACATTCCAGCTTTCAATTGAGTCTTCATGTTTATTTACAGAGTAATACCAGATAAATGAATGATTTAAGTTTTATAGTTGGTTTATTATAGAGTTTTTTCAGTATTTTAACATGAGTTTAACATTCAACATGAGAAGAAACGTTAATTTTACATCGAAGATTTTCAATTAAGTTAAGCAAACTTTTAAGGGTTCTTACATAATTTATCGATAATTTCCTTTTTATAATTGTAAATGATCTAAATATATTATTTTGTTCATTTTTTTCGAATCATTTTAAAGTTTTCTACATTAATCTCCTCCCTGTAACTACGAGATAATTGATCTTGTTTTCATGGGTTTCGATAAGTAATACGTAATTGAAACTAATTCCATTTAGATTTATATACAATAATTTTGTGTATAGTTTAAATTTCAGTGAAATAAATGTATATTTGATTACTGAACTGGACTTGATTTAATAAAGGAAGTTTAAATTAAGTTGATAAACAACTCAAGTGCTTGTTTATTTCAGTAATCTAATATGGGAAATAATAATATTAGATTAATCAACTTAGTATGAGTGGTATGAAAATATACATCAGTGTCAATACTGTATAAACATGAAGGGATCGGTTATCAATTATCATAGTTTATAAAATCTTACTACTTTCTATACTTCTAGAGTATGGATTATTTTAGTTTTTCATATTCTTTAAATAGCTTAAACAAATTTTAAAAAAATAGATCTGATCAGTGTAATGAATGTATATGTCAAATAAAATTCAAGATTATACTATTTTAATTGTTGATTTGCTCGGCAACATCGGTCAGACTGTCCTGCCCTCCATGGCCGGTGACGACTGATCCACCAAATGAGGAGGAAGTCCGCAAGGAACTCCAACTCTTGAAGCGTTACAAATCACCTGGCCCAGATGACTTACCTCCGGCTCTTTTTAAAGATGGTGGTGACTTTTTGACTAAGGAATTGACGACGTTGTTTACAAAGGTTTGGGAACTAGAGAGTGTACCAACGTCATGGAATGAGTCGATAGTTGTCCCTATCTTTAAAAAGGGTTCACGTCGTTCCTGTAACAACTATCGGGGGATAAGTCTACTTCCGATTGCGTCCAAGCTATTGGCTTCCGTCATACTTCGTAGGTTGTTCAAAACCCGAGAAAGATTGACTCGCGAGGAGCAGGCTGGGTTTCGTTCTGGTCGAGGATGTATTGATCATATCTTCACCCTCCGCCAAATGTTAGAACACCGCCATACTTATCAAAGGCCAACAATCGTAGTGTTTCTTGACATCAGGGCTGCCTTCGATTCGTTGGACAGGACTGTTCTCTGGGATTGTCTATTGAAGAAGGGTGTGCCTGAGAAGTTTATTAACATCCTAAAAGCCCTATATAAAAACACCTCAGGCAGAGTGAGGGCATACAACCACCTCTCTCCATTGTTCCATTCGAGCAGTGGGGTTAGGCAGGGTTGCCCAATCTCACCATTCCTCTTCAACTTTGCCATCGATGACATTCTGGAAACAGCTCTGATGAATGTAAGTAATGGTGGTGTGGATCTGTTGCCTGGAGAAAGACTTCTCGACCTTGAGTATGCGGACGATATTGTCTTACTGTGCGATAATGCCCAAGGCATGCAATCCGCACTTAATCAGTTGGCAATCAGTGTCCGTAGGTATGGTATGTGCTTTGCACCTTCGAAGTGCAAAGTACTTCTACAAGACTGGCAGGATTCCAATCCTGTACTCACCCTGGATGGTGAGCAGATAGACGTAGTCGAGAAGTTCGTGTATCTGGGTAGCTGCATAAGTGCTGGTGGGGGTGTGAGTGATGAGATCAATGCACGTATAGTGAAAGCCAGAGCGGCTTATGCCAATCTGGGCCACCTTTGGCGCCTTCGTGATGTTAGTCTGGCTGTAAAAGGTCGGATCTACAACGCGTCGGTGAGAGCAGTTTTGCTCTATGCTTGTGAAACCTGGCCTCCCGAGTTGAGGACGTTAGACGACTCTCTGTGTTCGATCATCGCTGTCTCCGAAGGATTGCTGACATTCAGTGGCAACACCATGTCAGTAATGCAGAGGTTCGGCATCGTGTGTTCGGGCACAGAGATGATAATCAATTGGTGTCACCATCTTGAAACACCGACTTCGGTGGCTTGGACATGTTCTCCGAATGTCGTCCCAGAGAATTCCACGTCGTGCATTATTTGCCGACTCTGGGACTGGTTGGAAGAAGCGGAGAGGTGGTCAGTGCATGACATGGTGTCGTGGCATGAAAGAAAGCTGCAAAGGACTGGCTTGTGTTGGTCCTTCACGACTCCCTGGTTGGGGTCTGAGAGATGGTGCTACACAGTGGCTAGAGACGTTATCAGATATGGCTCAGAATAGAAGCCAGTGGCGATCCTGCTGTAACCTTCTTTTACTTTCTTCATAAAAAGTGGTTGTGTCTCCCTTACCTGAAAGATTTCTTCTGATTGTACCTTTCGGTTTCCTCGTTACTACCACACTACCTTACACCAATCTCTTCGTTATTGTTCTCTTTTTTTGCGCTTGTTAGTTTTTTTTCTATTTCTCTTCGAATTCTCATTGTTTTGTGTGGCGCATATATATTGGCGCTCTCTTGTACCAATATTCATGTGTTCAAATAAATATAAATAAATTTTAAGGTTAAAAGACGTAGTTAGAAGTGGAACTTATCGGGGTGTAACTTCAGTTCAGATATCACTAATAACACGAAAGCATTGAAAAGCTGTTTTTTCTTAGCATAACACTCTTTAATAGTGTATTCATGACCCTAATAAGGGTCAAACGTATGACTTTTAGGTCTTGTAGTGAATACTTAATCATTATACCGATAGGCTGCTATACAATGGTATACATTTCCAACTTTAATCATGTTGTATTCTAATTTTCGTAACAAAGAATGTCTCATTCCACATTAGTCTAAAGTCCACCGCTCACGACTGACCACTGGAACTACAAGAATGAATGTAACCTAAAAGTTAAACTTCAAAAAAACCTTTAAATTAAAACGTTTTGTATCAAAAGACTTTTTTTTAAACCCACTAGGCTGAAATAAAATAAAACAAAATATTATCATACGTTAGTGAATCGTAAATTGAGTTGTTACATTGATTTGATATTGAACTTGCGAAGCATAGTCGGCCATTTTCAAAACAGCTACAAATGAACATTTGTTTATCAATTCTCACTTGACGTAAGTTTGAAATATTGAATAAATGATGGGTTAAGTCGTTTGCAAAAGTAAGGTTGAGAATTGCTAACTAGAGGTGCTGCAACTGATTCAGTGTGCGAGTCATTCAGAAATTAACTTCAAAAAATATGTTTAAATCATCGAAGGAAAAAGGTGCTAGATGAAATGTTATTCACCAATTGATTTGGCTCAATATCAATACTTTTATCATCCTTAGTGATATAACCAAGTGAGTTGTCTACTAAATATAGATTGAATTATGTTGAACAATATGATTATAACCTATTCCGGTACCTTATGTCTCACTGAGTTACAGGAATATCAAAAGGTAACATCTCGCCTATGATTGTTTATATTTATTATTTAGTAGAAAAGATATTTCTTGATAAATATACATAATCAGCATAGAACTACAACAGGAAAATAAATTGATGGTTTCTACTGATTAGTTAAACAACGGAACAAATTATCAGTATGAATTAAACGAATCATGTTTAACTGTGGATTTAAATCTAAGATCGAAAACCTTCAGCTATATCTGTCAGCATTGCAAAAGTTGTCGATTTTTGATCTAACCGTTGTCTATAAGTTATACACAAATATGATCTCATTTATTAAACTATATATATATATATATATATATATATATATATATATATATATATATATATATATATATATATATATATATGGGGAGAGAGATAACTATGTTCTTAAATTGTAACTTATCAGTTTAATTGATAAACATGACTTTTTTATTTCTCTTTCAGAGGAATATGAAATATTTACAATTAAAAAAAGAATATGATGAATGTTTGGAAAAAATAAAGATAACTGAAGCTCAATTAGAATCCAAAAACGGTAATTAGATATATTTATATACATAATTTGAACAAGTGGAGTGTTTATTTCAAGTTTTATTTTTTAAAAAAAATGTGGTACTCTAGTTTTGTGATCACACAAGATATCCGGTTACTTAATTTACGTTTGTTGTATGCGTATCTACATCTTTCTTTTATGTTCTACACTGCATACAACATTCTAGAAGGATACCGTAAATTATAAATATGTTTTGCATTGAATGAAAACCCAACCATAGAACTGTGGTAATGAAATTGTTGAAAATAAATTTTGATTTTTCGTTATATACGACTTACCCTTTTACATTATTGATGGTATAACGGTGAATTAACTACTTTACACAACTGCATGAAGTTAATCAACACTTCTATTTGTCATACCATTGTGATTGTTATCGGATGCAGGGAATATAATAATGACAGTTTTGTCATTTATATGTAATCTAATAATTTGAGTTTGCATTTCAGGGAGACCAGTAATATTGCGTTTAACTTTTCAGAGTGTTAAAGAACTTGGATATAGTCGAACAAAACAATTATGGAGAACCCAAAAACACATAAAGACGACAAATTCTAGGAAGTGAATCAGCTATAAACAAGTTTGTCTTATTGAAATAATTTCAAAAGTTGAATTCTACTCAAAGTAGTAGTCATTTATTCGAAAAAAAACCCAGTAAAAGCATCACAATTAAATAGTCCAATTCAAAAAACTAAATACTTCCAAAAGAATCCACCTGAACTTAAAATATTCTTCAACATTTCAAACTATGGAATTAACATATTCTAACATCAAAATACGGATATCCATGGGAGAATACAGGTTTTTATCATTTAATGATCAACATACTGATTTTCAAGCTTAATTCGGAGTTATACTTCAAAAGATACTAATTAGGGAAAAATGTACTTGTCATTTTTGATGATGAAACTTCATTTTCATGCATAAATGAAATACCCTTTTTTTTAAGAGCTACAAAATGAATAGTTTCAGAAACCGTTAACATTGTTTCTAATTGCTTAATGAGGTATATCTATCATTAGAGAGAAGTAATTATGTGTCGAATACTTGAAAATAGGTCAGTAAAAACCTCCGATAGTAAAATATTTTGGAGTTTTTTCTTGTTAAAGGACAAGTAGTACTTTTGTGTTTTAATAGATCACATTTACACTCACTGTAGTGTATTGAAACCAAACGTTAGACGCCTATTATTGTCAAATACATTTGAGTACTTTTTAGATCAATGTGTGAACATGTTTCAATAAGAAATAAAATTTAAAGGTTTATAATGTTATTGGGAAACCACAAAAGTACTAATTAAGAGCAGGTAATATGTTGTTTGTTCGACTTCGTTTCAGTTGTTAGGTGTCCATCAGTAATGTCATTTAATCTCAGCTTCAGGATAATAGCAGGTTAAATCATATTTATTTGATGTAGTAAGTCTACATTCATTCAATTTTGTCTTAAGTGAGCTGATTTTCGTAATAAATTTTCCACTTTCTTTATGATAAAATATTTCATTAGAAAATCAGCTTGACAAACAAAACTTAATTTTAAACTCCAAATATGAAGATGTTCAACTGAAATTGAAAGAATCAAGAAAGTTAATAAAAGTCTTAGAAAACAAATCACAACTGCTAAGAAAGCAACTTTCTTCTGAAAATCCAACTTAATTCATTTAAAGGAGAATTTCACAGTCAAATTACGAGTATGTTATCATAACTTGCTTACTGTAATATTAGTTATTGGTAAATAGCCATTACAGATAAAGTATTAGGCATGAATTGCGTTTTATTATGTAACTAGCAATAGATAGTCAGCTTAAGATTATCATCGATTAATTATTAAGCACTTAGACAGTGATGACTGTTAACATTGTGTTAACAACAATCCAATGGAAAGACAATTGTTTAAGCCTAAAATTTTAAACATGTCTTTACAGAATGATACAACTATTATTAAAGTAAATATTTTTGAAGAAAGTGGACTTGTTTTAGGTGACTAGTTTAATGTTTCTCACAAATGTCAAAGAGCTTCAAAGTAAAAAGATCGTCACTATATGGCCGATAGAAATCATTTTGTAGTACGCCAGATTTTCTGATTCAGCGTAAAAGTAAATACAAAAATGGAACATGATGTAGCACTTATACAAACATTTAGATAATTAGAAAACAGTGAACAATAAATAGTGGCTTTTTGAAGACAGATACTTATATAAGAATGCTTGCTGACGAACATTCACGAATTATTAACAGTATATTATCAAATACATATGCTAAGATCTCGAACCCTTTTATTTTTCATTTAACTTGTAATAATGCTGATCTAAAATCTGAATAAAAATGCCGTGAGCATATTTTAGTTGCTAGTGAATAAAAGTTATAGAGTCTAAACACTTCGTATGATAAAACTGACGAAGTCCATTTTAGTTGGGATAATTAAACTTGCTCAATTGATGATTTAATCTCAGATCTGTAAATCACTTCAAGCTGTATAACTTAAGGCAATTTGCCTGATTTTTAGAGCACTCAGTGATTCAGAATGATCTTTGAGCTTTTTTAAAATTATCAGTGAAGATTATTAAGTATACTATTTAAAAAATTTTATGGAATTACTATACCTTTCAAGACTGATTTTATACAAAACTCCACTGTAGATATTTGATGAATTTACTTTGTTGACAGTTTAAGTATCACACTATTCAGCAATATATTTACTGATATATGACATTGTTGTTTATTTCTAAATGTAAGCAAAATATTATTTAAGACCTATTACAAATACCATTTTGTTATTATAAATTTTAAGTTAAAAATTATTTATTTAATTGAGTGTTAAGAAAACTTGACTTCTTTCTAAGATTGTTCCAATAAATACTAGTTTCAGTAGAGAAATAGAAAATGAACAAAGTGCTCGCGCGCGAAACCAGTAGGTTCCAGGTTGGAATTTCGCAGGAGGCGAAGTCGTGGAAGCGCACTGCTGAGGAATCCCACAATAGGACGAAACGCCCGTCCATTGCTTGCATATATATATATATACATATATATATAATATTTTTAGTGCAATATGGAATTCTCACCTCGAAGTATTTCAAAAAAGTTTCTGTTTCTTATTTCTTGGTTGATCTTGACGATAATTATTGAATGATCATCAGTCAGAAGTTTAGTCAATCAACATCTGAATAATGTATATTCTTTTCTATGTATATTTCCAGCAATCATAATATCACTGATTGAGCTTTTTGTAATTTTTACAACGAAAGGTTGTACACTTTTCACAAACACATTTGAATAGATTATGCGTTTTAATAATCATTATGATAACAGAAACATATAGCCAAGATATTCAAATAGGCTGCCATGGGTTAATGTTTATTAGCTAAACAATTGTTATATTTAATTCCTATAAATTGTCTTAATTCTAAAATTAATATAATAATTATTTTTAAAAAATTTTTTTATTTAAAAAAAAAGAATTTAAAAGGGGTATTTGAAAGTTCTCTATTGAATATTGAACAAATGAAAATGAATTTATCTCATGTTACTATGCTTTTAAAACAAGAAATAAAAATAAAATATGAAAATTTATTAAATCAAAAAATGATTGATTTACGTAAAACATTATACAATGAAATTGAACAAAAAATAAATAAGGTAAATTCATTCAGTTTAATATTTTCTTAAATCTTCTCATTCATATTTAAGATTGTAATTGATTAGTCTTTTATTGGTATATATGTGTATACTGTGATTTATTACTTGAATTTGACCATTTATATTGATAATACCATCAATATTCAGTAAAGGACTTTTTAAATAAATAATTTCAGTTTAAATTATGTAATAATTATGTTTTAGTCTAAATAACACTAATGAAATATTATTTTTTCTTACTTAACTTATTGCAATAGTTGAAATCATGAGTCAATTAAAACTAGATCACCACGGAAAAAGTTGGAGGCACTGGACGGCCGTTTCATCCTAGTATGAGACTCCCCAGCAGTGCGCACTCACGACCTCACCTTGCGAGATTCGAACCTAGGACCTATCAGTGTCATGCGCGGGCGCTTATCCATTCGACCACTGAACCGGCATCCAATGGTGTTAATGTCTAACTTCAACCAATCCACGAAATTGCGCCACCATGCACCATTGTCTTCAGTGAGCTGTTATCTCACAACAGACCTGGTCGAACTCCACTGGTCACGACTTCTCACTAGAACTCCAGGAGTGTTTCTTGATGTTAGTCACTAGTGAGCAGATGATTATTATCAGAAGGGATTTTTGTGAAGATTTTAGTAGTTTCAATAGTTGAAATCATGAGTCAATTGAAGGTAGACCTGAGTCCTTGGTTCTAATCTCGCGGGAGGCGGGATAGTGGATGCACACTGCTGGTGAGTCTCATACTTAACTTATTGTTATGGTTTCATGTAATCTGATCAATATTGTCATGATTGAGTACGAAAGTGGGGAATACACAAATTACAGAATATCTTAGTAAAATCTGAAAAGTATACAGTAATTACTTTATTTTCAAAATGTTAATCAATCGTCTCAGATTTCATTGTTCTTACGTTTCTATACTAATCATTCTTTGTTCTCACTCTTTTTTCTTTGATCATCTTAAGCTTCTATCTCCTGGTATTTCATTTTCGATTAGTTTCGTCATCAGTAACGCACTCTGCAATATCAATGTAAAAATTGTAAAGTTGCTAAACATATCTATATTCATTTTCAAATATAAGTTATACTTAAATGGATTTGTATAATTTATAGAACATTAAAAAAAACAAACATTAGCCATAACAATTTGAATGTTGAATTATTCGGAATGAACTAAAAGTTTGGCAATTTCTCTTTTCCTTAAAATTATTATGATTGATGAAAGTTAGAGAAAAAAGTGTCTTATCTTTTTAGAATTAGTTTAGTTTTAGCCTTTCAGTAAACATTTATACTTTAGTTGAAATGTCAGAAATGCATTGAATTTTAATGCCGATTAATAGGTGTTCCCTATTGAAATTAAGTACTTGTTTTCTTTGAAGATTTTGTCTTTTAATAAGGTTCTTCAGTTTACAAAAAAAACCATTAAAGTTATGCTAGCCATACATATTATAGATCGATACTTTAGAAAAAGATCTATTGTTGACTTCGTATGCGTTTGACCAGCTGACTTGATAATATATGTCTAGCTTGAGCAAGTGAAGTGTTCATTTCAAGTATGATTAAAAGCATATTAAATAAACAAATGCAGTCAAAAGCATACTCCTGAAAATGGTGTTTAGTATTAATGAACCAAGTTATTTACACGTTTAGTTCTCTTTATGTTTTGTTAGTCCATTATATATATATATATCAGAAAATAAAATGTATTTTGATAAATAATTTACCTTCGGAGCTGTCCTGCTGTTAGAAATATTGTTCGATACTTCCTTACTTTAGTCAATGTTTGTATCCTAAGACAGAGTTGGCACTAAATAAATACATCATTTCACAATAGCATTCAACAAATTAACTGAATGAATTTCATAAATCAACATGAACATTTTTATATCACTTAAAAGTAGTTTAGAATTATTACCCTAGAATTTCATTACTTCAAGTCATATACCAAACGACAGAATTGAATATGCAGTTTTGTGAAAGCTGATAATTATAGATAGTATTTCACAACTGAATCACACCCACACTAATACGTTATTTTTCTCACCATATCTTATTTTATTACAACGAGAATGCTTGTTAGTAAAACTATAAAACCAGGCCCTTTCCCTCTCATAAATATTGCCTTTAGATGTGAGATAAGCATAATTTTAATATCATAACTAACACAAATAGTCAATAGCTAATCATGTGTTTTGTAGTACAACAAAGAGTTTCCCAGTTATTTATCAATACAGATAAAAATGTATGTTTTGTAATAATCACTGTCCACTTTTCTTTGATGAAATGTTGCCTTGCTTGCTTTTTATAATTTCAACAGAATTTAAAAAAAAGATTTAATAGAAATCTGTTTGCTTAATGTTTCTAACCGAAAGTTGAGAAAAAGTACCGACTCGTTTTTACATGTTAACATCAAAATTTTTATTACCATACACTTGTTATATGAAATATCCTAAGAAATCTTGTCATTAGTTTGCCAACTACAATTCCATCCTTTATTTTTTGTTGTTATGATTTGGCCTTTTTATTTTCAAATTTATTAATGGGTATTTAATAAAAAAATTATTTTTAAATGTTTCCATGTTGATTAATTTATTTTTTTGAAAGGAAAAAGAATCTACTATTAGAAACATTACAATAGTAAAACAAAATGAGATTGAACAACTTCAACAAGTAAATAAGGAATTAAAGTTGAAACTTACTAAACAAAATCAAGAATATGAAAATGAAGTAAGTTGGTAATATTTAAAATTTGATTTGCGCACCTTTGAGGAGTCTTTACTAGGATGATACGACTGTCTAGTGTTTCCAGATTTTTAATGGTGGTCTAGCTAAGATCGACTAGTGAACATATTGCAATCTCCACGAATTCATATACTGATAAAATTACTAATTTATTCATTGTGAATCGATGAAAGTCATTACAAGATAGGGAATAGGCAGACAAATTAACTAAGATTTTTGGAATAAATAACACGTTATGAGTTCAATAACGTCTTCCTCACTGATTGTGATTCGTGCATTTTTATAACTATGTTAGACTTTTGACCAAAACTCTGTAGTGTCGTTTATTATGTCAAAGCCATATAACTTATTCTGGCTTTCGGGCAGGCCAATCTACTCATTCTACTCCAGTCATATTTTGACCTTGTTAATTATTCGCTTATCAATCTTGATCGTTTTTATGTGATCGCATATGTATGTGCCCTTCTAATCCCATTCATCACATGTCTGTAGCTTAATTTTGTGTGACTATAACTATTGATTAAAGCTTGATTACATGGAGTTGGCTTACCCACCATCTCCATTGCACATCGTTTTGCTTCGCTCTATTTCATTCGTTTCATGTACAAACTATATGTATTCAAAAGTCCATTCTCGTTATTTGACTTATTTAATTCCGTTATTGACTAACGTGATTTGAGTCGATAATTATATACGAGGATAGGTGATATATACATTTCGACAGCAATCATTCAATAAAAATCATTCATACGATCAAACTGGAGTCAGATGTCGGGCCACTAAAGTGGAGAGCCCGTCGACAACATCGTCCGATCTGAATGACGACAAAATAAAGGGCTCCACTAAATCTCTAAGAAGTAAATTAATTTCTCTCAAGCCAAACAGCGTTCAAATACTAACCAGTGACTAGCTTCGGGGTAAATTATCTAAGTTACAGTAAGAAGTCATGACTGATGGAATTCACTCGGATCGAAAGTGAAACAGTTACTACATATCGTTCTACCTAGTTTTCATGCTGTACAATAAATTGATAAGCGTTAGAAATAAGAAGCACCGGATTTCAGCCCAATGATCTAAATGTATTATGCTCTCTGGAAAACCTAATTATCCTGATCTCAATAGCATAAAGGAGGATTTGTAAATTCCCACCTTAAAAGAACTTCGAAAAGAAATTATTCCCTGGATTTAAGGGTTCTCTAGTTGATGTTAATTAGTCAAGGGAACTATCGTCAAATTAAAACCTGGAATCATACTGACTCTGATATTGTATAGAAAGTCTTCATTAACTGACCGATCACTTTGTATTACATCTATTATTCAGATGAAATTATTGTTTTTTTTCCAAATGATAAACTGGCCTCATCATATCAACCTTATTTAAGTGAAGAATCCCTACGTGGAAAATAAGAAGAATTAGTAATAATTAGTAGAGATTATCAGAAAGAAAAGAATTTCTATACAAAATTATGTATTGGAAGAATACGTGAAACTCCATTATCGTTTTTGTGCTAGAACCGCTTTCTATTCAGTTAAATGATGATGATGATGATGATGATGATAATAATCATTAACATTATTATGATTTGTAATAAATTCAAAATTATTTATTTCATAGATTATTAAGATAAAAGTAATCTAGAACATGTAATTAATAAACTAACAAAGGACCTTGAAGAATGTCAACTTACTAACAAACAAATTGAATTGAAACTAACAAATGAATGTAAAATGAAGGAAAATCTAGAGAAACAGTTAGTTAAACTATCAAATGAAATGGAACGAATGAGGAATGACTATGAAAACTTATCAAAACAAGCTAAAGAAAGTTTCTTTTTTAATTCGTTTTTATCCTATTCTATACATATATATTAAAATAGATTCTCACTATAATTATTTTATTAGCATAAGTCCTATACTATATTAACCGTTCATTTGTTTCAAAACTGAGTTACGTAAAGGAGTTTTAGATGAATTCAAATTTACCAAAGTTATCGTTTTATTCTACTTAAAATATATCGTCTAAAGTTAATTTGACTAAGATATATTGATAATCAGACTATGAGTTCCAGATTGTATGCTGAAATAGTAAAATTGGCGAAATTATAGTTTATAGACGAACCAATGAGATTAAAGATAACAGGCTTTTAATCCGGACGCGAAATTCATTCATCCATATAGCTAAATAGCGTTTTGCGATTATGGCTGATCTTAATCGACGATTAAAATCTTTACTTTAATTCATAACTTTAAATTTCAACTCTAAATCCAAATCCTAATTCCCCATATTAATTTATAATCCTCTTTTGACAGGGTTAATTAGGTGAATTGTCTCAAAGTTACTATAGCATTGCTCAAAGGTCGTCTATAAATTATAGTCTCATCAAATTGATCTACTGTCTGCAAAGATGAACATAAATTTAACCAGTATTTTCTTCGATATAAAATATCTAAGAGTTTCATCAGTATGCTCTATAATTTAATCTGTAATTGTTAGTAGTTATTGAAATATATTATTCGAATGAGTAAACGTTTACACTTTCCCCACTGCAAATTAATTTTATATGTCCTTCAAAAGCCATCATGAAAGTACTATTTTATTCTTATCTGTAAAATACTTCAATGAAAAATTGTCCAACTACTCAAATGGCACTCACTCAGTTACCGATTATAAAAATGAGCGCAAATTCGAAAATGAGTATTATTTGTCTTTTATAAGTCTTCTGGAATGGAAACAATTTTGTTTAAATATATGTATTGATGATAAAAATATATGAGAAGTATAGTGTTTTTTATTGTAATCTGTACTCAATGTACTATTTTAATTGCTACAAAAAAATCTCCAGTACTGAGAATGAACTATGAATAAACCATAACTCAAAACTTTAAAACAAAATGCTTCTATCTATATTAGATATTCGTCTTGCAAGAGTTTGCAATTCCTAAATGAGATGAAATAAACATCTGCGACTTCATACTAGCCACTTACAAAGTACCGAACAATCAGAGAGTAGCTGTTCCAAATCAAATCTTATCATAAGGCAGTTCTTAGGACAGTGACTGTTTGATACGAGCTTTCAGTCTTCATATTAATCTGTATATCTACATGCTTTACATTCAGTACTTATTTTCAATTGTATTTGTATTCATTTACAGTCGATTCTTGAATAGTTGCCGACAATAATACTTCCAAACTATTAGAAAAAAAATAAAATTTAGTGAAACTTTTGACAAAATTATAACGTTTAAAGTGAATGTAAACAAATCGATTTATTTTATGAATGGTAGCTTGCAGTTGAATCGGTTTACTGGATATAGCCGTAGTCGAAAGTTCATTTTCACACTGAGAATCGAATTTAGTATCAATAGCTTTAAATGGAAGCAGATTATCTACTAAGTTATTGAGTTACTACACTCAAAAACTTGTTCAAATGGTACAGCCTTTATTATTATTATTATTAGCCCATATACCAACAGAGTTCATTCATCTTTAATCCTGAATATCAACAGTCAGTAAACATTAACCCTTCAGTGTATTGATCTACTAACAATTTTCTGTATGAAAGTGATCAAGTAGTGATAACTATAGTCATTTTGTTTCATCCATCAAGATGATCAAATTATATTAATCAAATTTCATCGTCAGGTATTACTCTGAATAATTTAGTCTGTTTAATATTTGATGACTGATGCCAGTTTGCAAATATCTAAATCTAAATTTATTGCTTGTTAATAAAGGATAACAGAGATTTTAATTTCATATAATGAACCATTTTCCTTACGTTACATAAACACATTGCCGTTAACTGCTCAAGATAATTGTATAACACATATATAACAATGGTAGAGTACATTCTAATTATTGTGTAATAGTTAATTAAATTTCTTATTATAATGAATACTGACTGGTAACTACTTATCTCAAAAGTCATCCACTGCATTAAGAAATTTTTTGTTTCATTTATTTAGTTTCTTTGTTAAAGAACTCTAACTGTCAAACTATAGTTTTCTTTACAATTAAAAAGGAAATTATGCTACTGATAGTAAATATGATTTATATCGGTATATTGCGTGGATAGATTATAAGTTTACTTATTATTCACTTTGTCTATCTAATCATCTTATTGTACTATCCTTAGAATATATTCATTTAGATGTTATCTTTTATTACCTCATAACTATTTCTCTTTTTAATAAATATTTCTAATATTTATGCTTCTATTAAAGTAATTGATAAATTATCAATAGTGTACAACTATGAAGACTTTTTGATTGAGACTATGAACCGATTGATGTTAGACCACCTTTGAAAACCTGGGAGCACTGGACGGCCTTCTCGTCCTATTGTGGGACTCCTCAGCAGTGCATCCACGATCCCGCCCGTGGGATTCGAACCCAGGGCCTTGGCCTCGCGCGCGAACGCTTAACCTACTGGACCACTGAGCCAACATCCAATGGTGATAGACTTTATTTCTCTTCTTTTGCTTTTACTAGTTAGTATACTTTTATAGTTTATACGCTTATTCACTTATGCAAATGATCGTGATCATTATTTGTATACGCATATAGTAAAAAAGCCAAATTCAATATCTTAACTTTCTTAGATAGTAATTTATTGCTTTAAACTTGAAATTGTCCACATTTTTTGATTGTATCATGTTACTCATAAACATTGAAATCTATTCAGATAAATTTTAATGTTTTTTAAAATAAACGCCATTGTGAATAGGTTTTTCACTTTGAATATTGAATTTTCTCTTTTTTGAAATTTTTAATGGTAAAAATAGAAAACTCAAGTTAATTTTAGAAAAAGCATTTCATGCAATGAAGCAATAGTAATTATTAAATAGTTAAAGATTGGTTTAAGAGTTTGAGTTTCTTATATCGGTACCGAAATCTTAGTTTAATTACATTTATGATTAGTGGTTAAGGGTGAAATCTGGATCACACATTTTGTTCAGTTTAAATACTTATAAGCTAAGTGAATTTGGATTTTTAATGCTAAGGTTTACCTTAAAATTTGAACCAGTTAACCATTACTTCGAACCTATAATGTTATCTATTTGACCACTAATTGTTATAGGGATCAACCTATTTCATGAACATAATGTGTAGTATTAATTATTAATGTTTATATTATCCCTGTTGAACTGATCAGTTTATGTTGGTTTATAGGCCTCAATATTGAATCCATTTTTAATGTAATCACTGTTATGTATGTTTCTTTAATATCTGCTTAATGTATAACTGGCTTGTATTTGGTACTGAAAAGCTCGAATCCGACCACACGTGATTAGATCACAAACACTGATGACATCCACTTATTTAACCCCGGTAGTAGATGAAAATGATGTATGAATACAGTACTTTTTCAACAATTTACATATCGTCAGATTATTAATTAAATTTGTATGAAATGAACTGAGAAGTATTCAACATCGGTTAGTAATATATATATATATATATATATATATATATATATATATATATATATATATATATATATATATATATAGCTCTGCAATACCATACAAATAACCATCTATAACCAATATATATAATGAATACATTGTTATATAATTACTCTCTAAGATGTGGATACATGTAAGCGACAACTAGGAAAAATCAATTTAATATATCATTCGCACTGAAATCGTTCAATTCATTGCTCTCCATAATAATCATATTGTGAATTTTATCTGGTAATCGAAGTATCAGAATTCTAAATTTAAGTAAATGAGATTTTTTTGATGTATATGATAAAAACTGATTGACTGATCTTCAAGAAAAGAATGAAATCTGAAGGAGGAGTATAATGATCAATCAACTTTATAAAAACATATAGTGAAATTAAGAATGAGATTTTGTTTGGTGAACTCTGTAGTGACACGATTCGTTTTGTACACGATTTCAATAATAAAAAAAAGTTATGGACTGTTGGCTGTTTAAAAAGATAAAACAATATTGTTTTAAGCTTCATAATAACAACTGATATGCCAACAATATATTCATTTTCATTAAGCATAATTTATACCATAATATCACGAATGAAGTACATATAAACTATATGTTAAATTGATAGAAAGGTACTTAAAAAAGGATGCTAATATTCAGTGAAGAATATAACGTTGATAAATTTGAAGAGTACTTTAATTTTGTGGAACTCTAATTGTCAGTGTACTCATTTGATGAGTATTCCCACATATGTGTAGATTTTTATTGTAATTCTTCATAGAAACTATACCTATGTTATTAACCAATGACAAGGTGTAAAATTAATATACATAACACAATTTACAAGTTTAAATAAAAGTATAAATATGTATATATCAATGAGATAACACTACACTATCAATCACTAAGTGATTTTAGCCTTTTCTCTATATACAGTGAGACAACAAGCTCATCAAACTAACTTCATATTCTTCGTATTATTATAAATGAATCTAAAAATGGTCTGGTTTAATAAAAACAAAATAGCATTTTATTTCTTTGATTAATTAAATGATAATAAAAATGTAAACTATTCAGTTAATATATATGATGCTTATATTATGGTAATGAAGATGATTATCTAAAATTTATTGATTGTTGATTGTTGTCTATCTTATAATCAATGAATTCATTCACAGAATTTTGTGATGAAGTTTTTCTGATGGAAATACTTGATCTAAGGATTAAGATGATTTACTTTAAAGTTAATAATTCTCAAAGTTTATTCATTTCATAAACAAGAGAAATGTCAGAAAGTTCAATTAATTTTAATTATACTACTAGTGAGTATATCATCAAACTAGAATAATTATTTGATTGCATGTTCTATTAGAGGATAATCGTAATGATCACAATTATCACCAAAATATTTGTTAATTTAATCTTAGTTAATGGTACTTTAATGTCTATGACTGTGATTTGTAATGTTTTCATGTTAGCCAAAGTTTCTATGTGAATGATGAATATCAGGTTGTTTCTTTTTTAGAAAAAATGTTTAGTGGATAAAATTTAATTCTGTGAACTTCAAGAAAAGTTTCCCAATGTTATTCAATATGTTTATGTAGTTTTTTTTTGTACTTTACCTGGTTTTCTATTTAAGTTCAAAAGGATTATTTTTCTTTATTCTTTTCTTTTTATCATTTTTTTCTATTTTATTTATAGAAAAAAAAATAGTTAAACTTGTGGATATGTGATTAAATTAAATTAGATGATCATGTGAAAATGTTGTATATTGCTCACCTGTCCTCTTATTCTTATTTGTGTTTCTTATTTCTTTTTCTTTATTTCTTATCATTTACTCTGTTGTTTCTTTTCTATTTTTTGTGTTGTTACAATCAATCGGATGTGTATTCATCGAAATGAAAATTTCTTCCTACCATCCCATCATTCATTCATTCATTGATTCTTCCTACTTTATCCTTATTTTTAATCATTGTGAATTTTTCTTAAGGAAACCGGTACAGGGTTTCAGCATTGTTTCTTTGAAATTCTATTTATTGATTAGTTTTTTTTTTATTTATTAAAAATGTTTTTATTTAGTTAGAGAAAAGTTCAAGATTTACCGATTTAGTTGCTGAACTTGATCGTAAATGGTCTGAAACTGTAGGTCGTGAATGTGCACGTGTACGTAGTGAAACGATACAACAGTTTGAATCGCAATATAAAGCGAAATTGGAAGAAATCACAAATAATTATGAAAAAACAATCATAACTATGAAAAAACAATGGAAATGAAAATAGAAGTGAATAAAATAGATCAGTCAAGAAATAATAATGATCAAGTAACAGAACAGATAACTAAAGAAAAATCAAGGTATATCTAGTATAATAATGAAATATATTTAACATTTAACAGAAATTGTACTGATTTGTATTAAAATTAATATATAAGTAAACACTATATGAAGATATCCATCTTTGTTAAAGGCGAATTAATAAATACATACCCAAAACTTGATTACATCATAATAAGAAATATAGTATACAAGTGTCTTGGGTTTACCCCTTATTGATCCCTTACGCTGTTTTCTTTAAAGATATGTATATGCTATTTTAATTAAAAGTGAATAAGGAGTTGAACAATGTTAGGAATCTGAAGAAAATAGTTGGTTAGAATATGATATCTTATTGTTAGACTTATAATCTATGTTTTACTTATCTTTTTGTATGTTAGTAAATTTTTATGTAGATGATTGAAAAAATTAGAGAAAGGTTTCGTGGATATTATAGTAATTTAATAGTTGAATTCATTAGTCAGTTAAAGCTAGACGAATATAGAAAACTTGGAAGCATTGGATGGCCGTTTCGTACTATTGTGGGACTACCGCCTCACGAGATTCGAACTTAGGTCCTATGAGTCTCGCGCACGAGACAAATCATTAATTGTACTTTTAGTCCCTATTATTTAATGTTACAAGACTAAATTCTATAAATTAATCTGTGATCTAAAATATTTTTTAATTAAATTGTTTTTCCGACTTATTCCTCTAAATGGTATTATTTTTCACTATTGACCTAAACAACGAAATTCTCGAAATAGCAACATATATTTCCAAAGACTGTAATACAGTGACATATTATTGTTTTCTTTATGAAATACCAATTAATAGAATTCTGTGTAATGAAAGTACATTTATTAAATGTAAATATAATTCTCCTGGTATTGTTTACTTGAAACTTCCCATTGATGATCAGGACTGCAGTTGATCAATCTCTCATTGACACATTGCTTCGATATTACCCCAATTCACAAGCATTATAAGAAAAGATGGATAATGAATAGCAGTGAAATCCATGACACGCGTTTCGTCCTGCTCGGGACTCATCAGCCGGATGTACCTGCATTCCAGAGTTGATGTTAACTCTGAGATAACGCGTTGGCGTTTGAAGAGAACGGTGCAGGTTCGAGTCCCAGAGTGAACATGAACTTTGGGATGCAGGTACACCCAGCTGATGAATCCCGATCAAGATGAAAAGCACACCCTGAATTCCACTGCTAGCCACTGTCTTTGAGTGAAAATATAATTATTTAGAAATATTCATTATTCCCATATAAATTTTATTTTATTTTCAACAAGCGATCACATCAATCAGTTGTCAGAAAACACAAGAAAAAATCTTGATCAAAGTGTTCAAACTGATGAGGAATTAGTAAGTGCGAATCTATTTTGTTTATTTCTCAAATAATTAGTTGTAAAGTGTCTTTAATAGAGTTGTTTATTGGTTGATAATGACATTTAGAGCATCAAATTTACCTAAATTTATAGAGGAAATTTCTAAAAAGCGTTTTCGAGTTAAACAATACGTATAGAAAGGAAGCATTTCTTTTGTTTGGTAACAAATCTACATTAAAAGACTTGCTTGTACTGCGAAACCGTACAACTTTCCAGTCAAATAATTTGCATTTGTTAAAATACCATTTAGAAACGAAAACTACCACCATGAGTTAAGTATTATGGATAGTAAAAGGACAAGCGATCTACATAGAAATCTTCATAGATCTTCAGAGAAATTCATCTGTCTCAGAGCACGTTGATGAACAGACTTAGACATAACATAGTATTGAAGTGTCTGAACAAACAGTGATGTATGAAGCTTTAACTTTTCACATTAGAGCTACTATTTTGCTAGTAAATATCACGTTCATTAATTAAATTTCTTGTAATCCGAACTTGTTTATCCAGTTCTATTTGTGTAGAAAGACGGATTCTGACTAGAGTGGTTATATTTAACTCTTACATAAAGTCAAATTACTTAAAATCACATACTCTTTTGACTTGCAATAAGAAACAACCGTTTTTGTTGAGGCAAAAGAAGTAATGGCTAATATTATCGATTGATTGAAGTTTAAAGCCGATTGAATGGAACCGATTATCTCAGGAAAAGTTGAAATTAACACCATATCTAAATTGGTGATGAGAAATAAGACCTATTAATGAAATATTTATTTGAAAGTTCTGAGCTAGTTTGTAAAATATTTTGTAATTGTCAATGTGAAGATATTTAGGTTTTTAGGTAGGAAACAAATTTTTTTCTAGGGATTTAAGCACCATTTGTCATTTACATTGATTAATAACAAAATGCTACTTGAAGCAATTAGTTGAGACCTGAAAGTCAAGTGCCACAACCGGGATTCATTAAGATGAAACTACGTCCAAACGATGAACCACGAGTCTCACTTTTTTACGTTAAATGGTTCACCAAGCATTTGGGTATGAACCACTCCCTGGGTATGAAGGCTAATGATACTACCCGGTTGACGGAACCAAAGTAGGAGAAATGAAACAACCATGATGACTGATGTATTCTGTGTATACTAAGACTCAATTCAAAAGAAGTATAGTGACGTCTTGACTAATTCAGTACTGACGTCTCTAAATGTTACACTGAGTGACCCTAGCTATAATTCCAATGATGTATCACGATTTCGAGTCACTCAGTCAGTCAGTCAAAACGTAGAATCTGGTACGTGTGTAAATCGGATCAAGTTACCGTACCACATCAGCATAGTGAAATAAAAACTTATCGGGTAACGTCTCTGAATAGCTGAGTTGGTAACAGTATCAGTGGTGATGAGAAAGATTAGCCATCATAGGTGCGATTCGAGAAAATATAAATTAGTGACATAAAAAGATCAAACGTTATGGGGAATATAGAAACATAGGGTTTGAGGGAAGACAAAGAATGGATACATCTGCGCCATTGCAACCGTTTTGAGTCACTTTATTCAAATTTTCTATTCACTGATTACGATAATCACTCGTACTTCAACCAGGTAGTTTGTATCTGTTAACATAGTTAAGGCCAGTAATCAATGACCTCATCGAATAGTAACATGCGTTGGTTTTGTCTCCCACATATTTCTCCCAACCTACTCCCACACTAGACAACACTCGTCAAGGTAGGCGTGGTTGACCCCACGTAACACATGTCTTAACTACTCTTATCTTTATCTGGTACTATATTCTTAACCCAGGTATTGTTTATTCGGTGCTCCCAAAATTCATGAGCAATACTTTGTTGACACCTGTGATCGAATACTGGCAAAGTACGAATATCCTCTCCTCCTAATGGCCATGTTTCACATCCATAAAGTAGAACGGAGTGAAATGCTGCGCAGTAAACTCACTCTTTGGTTGAAGGACGGATATCTTGCTTACGCCACAAGCGACTCAAGTTGGCAAAAGCCAGTCGAGTCTTCTGAATTCGTGCTGAGATTTCGTCAGACTATCAGGACTAATGAGACTCTCAAGATAATTGGAGCGGCCGATGGGTTCAAGTACTTCACTCCATATCAATGATTCAGGCGATGACGCAAGTCAATCCAGAAGTAACATTTCTCATTTGGAGGAAGAAAACCTCGTCCCAAACATGTTTGCATTGTTACTTAAGGTAGTCAGAGAATTGCATTTTGTCAGAGCCTTCACCAAACAGAACGATATCATCTACGTCACAAAGTAAATCAACTGGTAGGAGATCAATGCCTGAAAAGTCAGACGATAAAAGTTATTTCTAAAAGCATGTCTATGACAGATTTAAATAAAAATGGGAAAAGCGGAAAACTGTGACAAACACCACCTAAAGTAACTAATTTCGATGACGGTTCGCCATAACCTATGCCTCGACTAGTAGTGACAGACATTGTCACAGAACTGCAAGGTTAACAGATTCCGCCTTAGTAAGATCAAGGAATACAACCATAGTTGGACAACGAAAAGTTTGTTTACACTTCCACATCCAGGTTTGGTCTAGTTTTATCAGCTTTGCTCTTCGTGAGCTCTCGTTAGTCTCTGAAGTATTGAGACGAATATTTTAGACAGTTGTATTTAAAATGATTTCTTTGTGACTGTTACGGGAGGATTTTCGTCATTTCTTAATAAAGTAGGACAATCAGCAATCGAGAATAGTCAGATGGGATTACGTCCGCTTCCAAGATTCTAGATAAGATTTCAGTTAATCCGACTGCTGTACCTAAACTTCTCAGAGGTTGGTTCGTCTGACTCTGCTGCTCTCCATCGCTTTAGATCACTTGTAGCCCTTTCTACCTCACTAGAAGTTAGAAGACCTACATCAGTTTGCCAGTCAGGTTGCTTGGATTTAGTAGGTAATTGGAGTGTGGCTGAAGGCCAGTAGAACTGTCCCCTAGGATGTTAGGCCTATCGGTCCGATCTTTTGGGTTGAAAGCGAATAATAGTCCTGTATTTTTCCGAGACATTTTTAATTATAGCTGGGTTTTAATACCCCATTTCTTGATTAGTCTTAACAGTTGCCTACAGTTACCTATCCCTGCTTCTTTTTCCATCTCTTCTTCTTTCGCTACCCACCACTACTCACGGTAATCATGTACGCTTTTTATCAGTGTATATTTGAGCTTCCTCCTCCCCTTATCGTATTCGGAGTAAGACGGGATGAGTCTCCGTGCATCTATCAGTTCTGTAGACGCCGCTGAAATCAACTGATCTTTCTCAACCTTTTCGTTTAAGTTACTAGCAGGTATAACTGTGCTTCAAAAGCTTTTTGGATGTTATGCCGAGCTACATGGAGGTCGATATAAATTTCATGGTTGACTTACTCCTTCACTAGTTGTTTCTGTAATATATTCTTATCTCTACAATCATTAAGTTGAACTCTAAAGGGCTTTCTTCTTACTTCCGGTAAGGCGCAGACAAATACGCGCTCGAGCTAGACCATAATCCGAGTCTAAATATGTGCTCCAGAATGAGCGACAATTTTCCTTAGAGCCTTTCCAGCGATGAGCAATGGCGATGTGACCTACTTGAGTCCATCGATGAGCCGAGCTGCAACTCCGTAAGATCCGACAAAGTGGGTTTCAGTCTGGTTTATTTTACCTACATCAACATTAAAATCACCCCATTATTATTACTATTTCACTACCATACACTAATTTGTGGTTCATATTGTCCTTTTTTTTCTTTTTTACACGCACCTTACATAATTTATCTCTTCCCATTCTCATTATTATTGTGTGATGCAAATGTATCTGGTGCCCCCTTGTACTAATATTTATGTGTTCAAATAAATAAATAAACAACTGCAATCATTTTTAAATTAGAGCGTCTAGCTTTCTGAAGGTTAGATAGCTTCTCATGAAATTCATCTCAAACTTTGTTGAAGCTGCAATCAGTGGGAGAGTAATCAAAGACAACGAAAAGGCAACATCTTGTGTCTCTATGTTTTTGAGTTCTTACCATTCCGTTTGGTTGAACAGCACACAAGTGGCTGCCTGTTGGAATTAAGTCTAGAAGAGCCTTTTCTGATTTTGAAATTAATGCTACACCTACACCAGAGAGACCACAGGGAATAGCAGTGGGATCTCCAGGTACCTGAAGGGTAATTCGTGTCGATTCCTTATGTTGACAAGTGATGTCAAATGCGTGACTGTACTTGGATCCTGTATACGCGTTTCTGAGGCGCGGCACACATCAATGGCGTGAGGTTCTAGAGTCCTAGCTAGAGAAGCCTATGTTACTATCTGATAAAAAGTTCAAAAATTAAAAGCTACAACATGTGGATTAGAGCGTGATTTCAGAATACTGTGATAAACATTTCATGAACGTGAATCATTGACATCGGTGGAGCGCGGTGATAAAGATACGTAAAAGGTTTTATTATGGGGATGGAGTAACCAATAAAAAATGAGGCAGGGATTTGATCGTAAACAATGTGGTCTCGGTCTGTTGTCACTTCCCAGCTGCCCGCGCTGTGGGAGAATATCTCTTCTTCATTAACCTGAGAAGGGAGCTGAATCACCGGTGGTCTTACCGACCTGGGAGCATGACTGCAGAATCCAAGGTATAAATGCTTGAGACCTGTCACGCATGGCCTTCTTATGAAAAGTTTTTAATGTGTTTACTCTGTACTTCCATAGGCTTTATCCCCGGACACGGAAATCCATGGGTTAAGGTGTTGTATGATATTTTCACTGTCGACCTTTTTTGCTGAAGATGCTGGTTGTCCGAGGGAAACATTTAGCGTCGCCACACTCTAGAACCTGCAGTACTACTTTGCCCTCGAAATTAAGTGGCTGCTTTTACACTCATCGTTCCCAAACGGACCTATCTGAAATGATAGTATCTAAAAGAACATGTGTTTCAGACAAACCTGACCACAACGTTAAGGCAGTAGCTACAGTCAGGTTATAGTGATATTCTAAGTAAGTAATAGCTCCGCAAGGACATATGAACAAAAAATAAACATGATGATTCAATAGAAAGATTATTATACTTAATTTCGTACTGAAAATAATAACAATAAAAGATTGTATTTGTGCAAATAATAGGCCTTGTAAAATTAATAGGTTCACAACGGGTTATTATGTGAATGGAGTAAGATAAATAAAACATTTTTGTTATGATAATTACAGATAATAGATGAGTTAAATGAAGTGAAGTGATATCAGAAACAATTATAAATAAATTCATTGGGATATGAGAAATAATTGAAGAGAGGAACATTTTCAAATGCGAATTATAATATTAATAATAGTTCAAGGCCATGGTAAAGATTGTACGCACAGTTCTAGCTATATCTCATGAATGGCAAGAGCTTCTCATTTTTAAAGAATTGGATAGGAAGAAATCTATGTAGATTTGGACGAATTATATCCATAACCTCAAAATCAACCTGTGGATCAGTGGAATGACTAGAGTCGGTAAGATGTTCAAGAACGGAACTTCTAACTGATTTCTTCTCACCATCGTAGAATAATAATGGGATATGTTCTCGTATCTGAGTTGAAAACAACAGCCGGTTATGGCTTATGTATGGCTTATGCTCGACAAGAGCAAATGAATTGCTAAATTCACATAGAGGTGACCAGATAAAGAACTGTATCTTTTATAGATACAAAAAATAAGTTCCTACTAGTGAACGTCAATTTTATCTTTGTTGCATTGAACGTTCTATTTATCGCTGCCATTAATCGATTTCTAATTCCGTCAGAAACTCTATACTCCTAGCAAAAATTGATTCCGTTAATCGAAAAGTGAATATTCATCTGTAGTGTTTATTAACCTAAATATTGATAAACAAATATTGGTGATAATTTGAATAAGTACTACCAATTATTTACATTCTTAAGAAGTTAGAAAATTGCCTACATACATACAATGCTACATAACTATGATATAAGACAATATATCCGTTTAAATACTTACCTTCTTATGTTAATTTAGTAAGTTAGTAATTTTCTGTTGATTTTTTTAATGTGAAATTATAGAAATGATTATTGTTATTTTTTGTTTTGTTTTGTTGCCTACTGTCACGAAACTCATCCATTCATTATTTTATTTTATTCCTTTTTATTACTACTCTTGCGTGTTTCCTTAAAAATATAATTTTCTATTTCCTTTTATAAAATAAAAATCTTTTTCTTTATTTTACTTTTCTTTTAAATAGAAAAATAATAATGAAATGAAGAATTTTGCAATGATTGATTCGAGTACAGAAACTGATCAAAAATTATATGTTGAACAAAGTAATTATCATATAAATGAAAATGAAATAGATCAAGTATGCCAATTAAATAGTTTATATTTAATTTCACTGATTGAAATCATAAGTCAATTGAAGCTAGACCACCATAGAAAACCTGGAAGCACTGGACGGCCGTTTTGTCGTAGTATGGGACTCCTCAGCAGTGCGCATCCACGATCTCGCACCCCGCGAGATTTGAACCCAGGACCTATCAGTCTGTCAGTTTATATTTAAATTCATAGATGGATTAATATTTGGACAGGTTTAACTGTGTTATTTTTACTAGTAGTAGTCCTAGTAGTTTAGGCAACAAAAAAAAACACTTACTTAACAATATTTTTCTACAACTTTGACCAATGGAGTAAAGTTAGTGGTTCTTTGAAGTTCAAATTTTCTGTACAATGGTTTCTGAATTTTATTCATTTAATAATTAATTTTTTAATGGCAAGTTAGTTTTATTCAAAGGAATGGAGAATTCTACCATAATGAGATAAGATGCCGTTGTTTATCTATTATGGTTAAAAAATTAAGATTCTGAAAAATGTTCTGCTATCTGAGTACATCAAAGAAAAAATGAGTTTTTGAAGATATATTTTTTTAATTTTAAATGTAAAATGTTACTTCAAAATGCATTCCCATGATCACAAAATCATCTTATTTTATAATAGTGTGCTTTAGGTTAAGTCTCTTGAAATAGACAAACATTACAAATCAACAACATTCGTCATTCGGTAATGAGACTATTTGAGCCTTTTAACTGAATCTAACCATCTCAAAGATATAACAGTTATAGAAAAATAATTCTTTCCTTTTGTTATTTGACTGGACGATTTAATGTCAGCACATTAATTCCAATTATAATCAACATTATTTTTCTTATTGTAAACATTTTTAAAATCAATATTCAATAGCACCGTAGTTTTATTACACATTTTGATGTTAGGGATTTTAATATTTTGTAAATTTGCTTTCATGATCAGATTATCAAGAACTTTTCTAGATTCTGTATATAGTCGGTCAGTCAGTCATTTACAACGTAGGACCAGGCACATTTATTCACCGGTCCAAGTTGCCACAAGTTATTAGCACAGCAAGATGAACACCGGATTCATAGAAGTGGTTAAGTCAATAGTGGTAATATATAAAAGAAAGATTGGATATAAGGATATTGTACAGGAAGAAAGAATTAGTTCGTAGAAAGAAAGATATGAAATAACTTTAATCTCATAGTTTAAAGGAAGATAAAGAGTGTATACACCTACGCAATTGTGATCGATTCTGAGCCATGTCACCAAGAGTCTCCAACCATTGGTTACGATAGTCACGCGGACCACAACCAAGTAGTCTGCATTTACCAACATGGCTCAGACTAGACGTTAGTGACTCCAAGCACTGATGCCATGTTTTGGTTTGGCCGCCCCTAACTTTCTATCAACCATTTTGAAGTATTACAATTCGTAAAGATTTAGCTGAACTGTGAAAAATATCCGTGGGTAATTAATAAGGGTAATCTTAAACGTCATAAAGTAAAGATGAATGTCAACCTATTACATGTGCTGTTAATCAGTCACAATGATATTCACTTTTACTAACCTAATAATATTATTATGCAAACGAAAATCATCTTATTTTCTTTTATTGTAAACTATTCATAGTTTCATATAGTCTTATCAATCAATTAATAGATGAGGTGAATTATAAGTAAATATTTTATAAGGACAATTATTTTCTTCATTATTATGAATCTAGGTCGATGTTACTTTTTTAGTCATCTTGAAAATAACTACATTTATTGACTATCAGTTATATATCAGATTTTAACTAAACATCCACTTATCTAACTTCCTATAGAAAACAAAATATGAACAGGAAATTAAACGAAAACAAATTGAACTGGAAAAAGCTCAAATCAATTATGATAAATTACTTGAAGAATTTATTCAATCTCAGACAGATTTTCAACAGATACATGTTAAACTTAAAAGTCAGTTAAAAGATGAGCAATTGGCAAATGAAGAAAAACTAAGGTGGGTTTCAATTCATATAAAGTTTTATTCTTAATATTTTGTTTATGAATGTAAGTATATATCGTCAGTGAATTACTGAATAATTTATGTTATAGGATTCTTTCCAATATTATCAATAATTCATTACTTTGCTTCCCTACAACTGTTACTCCTAATGGAGCATAGGCCACTGACCAGCATTCTCCAACCCACTCTGTCCTGAGCCTTCTTTTCTAATTCTATCCAATTCTTGTTCACTTTTCTCATGTCCATCTCCATTTCCCGGCGTAATGTGTTCTTTGATCTTCCTCTTTTCCTTTGACCTTCATGATTCCATGTGAGGACTTGTCTTGTGACGCAGTTGGGTGCTTTCCTCAATATGTTTCCTAGCCACTTCCAGCGCTTCTTCCTAATTTCCTTCTCCGCTGGGATCTGGTTTGTTCTCTCCCACAGTACGTTGTTGCTAATAGTGTCCGGCCAACGGATCTGAAGTATTTTGCGTATACAACTGTTAATAAACACCTGTATTTTCTGGATGATGGCTTTCGTAGTTCTCCAGGTTTCTGCCCCATACAGTAGAACTGTCTTGACATTTGTATTGAAAATCCTGACCTTGGTGTTGGTTGACAGTTGCTTTGAGTTCCAGATGTTCTTCAATTGTAAATATGCTGCTCTTGCTTTGCCGATCCGCGCCCTCACATCTGCATCAGATCCACCCCGTTCATCAATGATGCTGCCCAGATATGTAAAGGTTTGTACCTCTTCCATATCTTCTGCGTCAATTGTGACTGGATTGGTGCATGCTGTGTTGTATCGGAAAATCCTGCTTTTCCCTTTGTGTATATTGAGACCTACAGCTGCTGAGGTTGCTGCTACACTGGTCGTTTTCTCCTGCTTTTGTTGTCGAGATTGCGATAGGAGGGCCAGATCATCTGAGAAGTCTAGATCGTCCAGCTGCACCCTAGATGTCCACTGTATCCCGCGCTTCCCTTCAGATGTTGACGTCTTCATGATCCAGTCGACCACCAGGAGAAAGAGTGAGAGTAAGCAACCTTTCCTGACACTGGTCTTTACTTCGAACGACTTTGTCAACTGTCCTCTATGCACGATTTTGCAATTTAATCCATCATATGAGTTCTGTATGATATTGACTATCTTCTGAGGCACACCGTAGTGTCGAAGAAGCTTCCATAGTGTTGTTCTGTCCACGCTTTCAAATGCTTTTTCGTAGTCAATGAAGTTGATGTAGAGTAATGAATTCCATTCAACTGATTGTTCCACAATGATCCGTAGAGTTGCGATTTGGTCTGTACACGATCGATCCTTACGGAATCCTGGCTGTTGGCTTTGCGTAGTTTGATCCGGTGAAGTCCATGTGGTTTTGTGTATGCGGTTATGTGGGAACATTGTGCCGCTTATGACCAGTTTATTGAAGGCACATAGGTTTGCAAATCTCTCACCATGTTTGTTCCTTTCTCCCAGTCCATGTCGTCCCATGATGTCTTCATATCCAGTGTTGTCCGTTCCAACCTTGGCATGTAGATCTCCCGTTAGAATGGTCAGGTCGTTTGTTGGGCACTTCTCGATGATTGACTGCAGCCTATTGTAGAATTGATCTTTAGCGTCTTCATGTAGTCGTTGGTAGGCGCATAGCATTGGATGACGGTCATTGAAATGCCGTCTTTCATTGTTTTGAAGGAAGCTTTGATGATCCTTGGTCCATGAGATTCCCATTTTGTGCATTTTGTGCTTGTTTGAACAGCATCAATGCGACTCCTTGTGTATGTGGGGCATTTCTTCATCATGGCCGGAGTAAAACAGGAGCTCTCCTGTAGTTAGTCGTTGTTGTCCAACTTTCGTCCAATGTGTTTCACTGATCCCAAGCACCTCTAGGTTGTATCTACTCATTTCTGCAGGAATTTGGAAGACTCTCTCGGTCTCTCACATTGAACGAGTATTCCATGTACCTAAATAAATGGTTGCTCTGATTGTCAGAAGGGGCATCGGCGTCGTAACTTCCGAAGGAATTCGGCCTTCATCATGCGGCGTCATAGTTCTTTTAAATGAAGACCTTCTGACTCTCAGGGCAGAGTTTAAAAGGTTTGAATAATTTTTTCTGGTTAGCGTTTTCTTTAGCGAGTTAGTTTTCTACGGGATGGGGTAGCTAACCCATGTCCAACCCTCATCTTTAATCCGGGCTTGGGACCGGCAGTAGCCCCCGGAGGGACGCCAGGCGGAGTTGATAATTCATTAGTTTAGATATAATTTCGTTGGCTTAACGAGTCCTATTAGAGCTTCAGCCAGTTTACTTCAAAGTTAATGTTTTGTAGGTATATTGTTTTCATTCAGGGATACAGAGACTTACCAACAAGAATAAAATTATATCAAAAACGGAATTTTATTTAAAAATAAGGCATACGAGCATTCAATTTTGTGGACTCAGTAGTACATAGTTAGCTGAGGGATTTGAAAATTCATAGTTCAATACTACATACAGACACATATATAGACTACTCAAAAATGTCAAATTAGAGCGAAGAAGTTGTCTTTTTTATAATACGTCTATGACGGACAATAGTGATTAAAAAATCATCTTCATATTAGTTTAGTTTACACTTTTAGAGAAACCATGTACAGAGTAGTCTTTTAGAAGATATATTTTATATGATAGTGATATAACAAAGTAGATAATGAAAAATTGCTGAACATTTTCATAGATATTAACATTTCAGCATGCAAATATCATGACAACTGTTTTATTACCACTTAACAATGAATTAAAAGTGGCCAGTGTTTACAATTATAAACCAGCAGATTGACATTTGTTAGTTCAAAAGACAGGTTGTTCTTTAAGTGGAATATCATGCGTTACTGATCACAAAAATGTATTCATCTATCTTCTCATTAATACGCAAAAAGCCACTGACAAGTAGTTCTTTCGTTTTAATAGTAATGATTAGTAATGACTATAAACAGTTAGTTTTCATAACTGATCAAGTCAGTGAATAATATGTGTTGAAAACATAATTGATGTATTTGTATTTTAGTAAAAATAGAACTACTTACTTTGATGTTAATGTATTTATCTAAAAAAGTTCGAAATCCAATAAACTAAGACTAATATGGATTAAAACAAGTTCAATATAACCATGATCTAATTTCAATAGTTGAGATCATGAGTCAGTTGAAGCTAGATCACCATGGACGGCCATTTCGTTCTCTTGTGAGACTCCTCAGGAGTGAGCATCCACGATCCCAGAACACCCTCGCGAGATTCAAACCCAGGACCTATCAGTGTCGCGTGCGAGCGCATAACCACTAGACCACTGCGCTGGCATCCAGAGATGTTAATGTCTAACTTCAACCAATCCACGAAACTGAGTGACACATTCACCATTGTCATTAGTGAGCTACTGTCACACAACTGATCTGGTTGAATTCAACTGGTCATTGCTTCTCACTAGAACTCCAGAATATACATCTTCAAGCCAGTCACTAGTGAGCATATGTTGATTCATATCAGAAGGGTTTTGTGGAGATTGTAGTAATTTCAATAGTTGAGATCATGAGTCACTTGAAGCTAGTTCACCATGGGAAACGTGGAAGCACTGGATGGCCGTTTCGTCCCATTGTAGAACCCCTCAGCAGTGCGCATTCACGATCCCAGCTAGCGGGATTCGAATTCAACTATTGAAATTACTACAATCTCCACAAAACCCCATCTGATGTATGATCTAATTCTTTAAATCGAATTTCACAAATTTTTGAATTGTGCTTTGTTATTCTAAGTTTAAAAGAAGAGGAATTAAAAAATCATTTTAAAAATGAATTACAAACAATGAAACAGTTATATGAAAATATAAGATCAAAAGAATATAATGAATTTATACTTGCTCAAAATATTCTTAAATCTAAAATACATGAATTACATCAACGTTTATTAGGATGCTCTTGTAAATCATCAACAATACTGAAACAGGTTAGTGTACATAATTAAAAGGGGATTTCTTTTTTTCTTTCTTAAAAGGATGACAATTTTTTTAAAATAACAATTATAGAAAGAAAGGAAATGTAGGTTCATATATGATATTAATTTGAATATGCTAAGATCTTCATAATATGAAGTTTAGATTTATGATAAATAAATATTATGTAATGGAATCTTGAAAACTAGTGAACAATTAACAATTGTTCTGTATTATCAGAGGTTTCCTTATGATGTCATATTTAAAACATTGCTATAAATCCAGTCTTATCACCGCCTCGAAATGCCTTGGTACCGCTAAGGGTGCGGACAATCAGCTCTCCCGCTTCAAATGCTCTCACATGGCCACATGTATACAGCACTCCCACGGAAGTCCTACTCACCACATTCTCGTCATGGGGGTGTGTTTACGAAATTGAGAGGATAAAAAGTGAATGTCAAGAGCTTTAACCGGGTTGGTGAATAAGTAAGGTCCACCTAGGGGGGTTGGAAAACCCTTATTTCAAACCAATGGTACACATGGGATCCAGGATCTTAATGAAACGAATGGTGCATGGACCAATCGCTGGTCACTGGCTACCATGGAACTGCATTTCCTAACGTTGTTCCATTGTCTTTTGTATTAGACCTCTAGGTCAAAGTCTTGGGAGTGGCCCCACCCGTGTAGCATCACAGCTCACACATAAATGAAGTGACTTGTATGGTGCATATTTATTCGGTGTCCCTTTGTGCCAATATTTATGTGTTCAAATAAATAATAAATAAAATCTTGTCACCACTTGAATAGAAATATATTTCTCCACTGTTTGAATAGTATCAACTTTGTTTTGGTCAATGACCACTCGGACTGCAACGTAATTTTTCTGATGTGAATAAATCTACCTAACTTTCATCAACTTAAAGGATTATGTTAACGAACAATATTTTAAGATTTTAACTTCATTATTGTCTTTAAACAGAATAAACGTTAGTTTCTACTTACCTCGATCTTTAGTCTATCCTCAGACATTATTTTTCTATCAAAAAGTATGAAATAGTCAATAATGGTTGATTTGGCAAATCTAACATTATTAATCAATTGTTTCTCAGTAAAGTAGACAACTCGTCTTTATAATGGCATAATGAGAAGAAGTTTTCTTTTCCCTAACTAATAATTCATGAAGTGATCATTTGTTGAACTTGTTTAGTCTTCTAGTAAATAAAACTATTAAAATTCATTTTATGTATTTCACTTTTTTCATTCTTGTTTTAGATAAAAAATAGTAGATTATCAGCAAATAGTCAATTATTACCAGAGATTACTATGAGTAATAAACAAGATTTTGTTTTTGATACTTTATCCACTTCATCCTTATCGTCATTACCAGCACTAGGAACTCTGTCAGAACCAAAATTCATTTATAATCTACTTTCTGATCAACTATCTTCACAAATTAATGAAAATCATCGTTTGATAAATGAAAATAAAGAAGAAAAGTTTCATTTGCCTACATTAACTACCTAAAGTGATAGAAGAATTTGTAATAAGAAAGAGAAAAATAGAAAATAAAACATTATTCAATTATGTAGTGTACTAGCGAGTATAAACAATTATCCATAAAGTTAATGAACGTTTAAACAGAAACTCAGACATTTCTACATTAAAAATTTGCGCACACACAAAAAAATAAACATGGAATGTTTTTTCTTAGTTTACTCAAAAATATGTTTGTCTATATGTATGTGCATAGAACCGATAAGTGCCATTAAAAAGTATAAAGTACCATTCACATATGTCTATCATACTTTCAATTTACATTTTAAAAGAAAAAAAAGAACAGAAAATATAATTACAGATTTTGTAAAAACTTCATTTCATTGCTCTTTTGGGGGGGGATGGTAAATGAGATATACAGTTTGTTAAGACTTTGAGATGGAAGGGGAATTAGTTGGGTTTGAAAATAGTTTTTTTTAAATATTGATCTAAGAGAAACATTAGTTGAATAATTGTTGAAAATAACAAGTACATTAACTGTTTTATTCAGTTTCCATGTTATTTGGCTGTGTAAATTCTAAAGACAACATGTATTATATGTTTGTATTGACTGATACTCATTGGTTCGTTGAATGATTTTTTGTCCGTAATCGGATACGTTTTTTATACTCAATGAAGTTTATTCACTTCATAAATTAAAACATGAAATTACAACAAGTTTAGAAACGTCTTAAAATACATATAAATCATTATCTAAAACTTCAATCAAAAAGACGATTAGCGGATTAGTTGAAGTTAGACATGAACACCACTGGATGGTGGCCAGCTCAGTGGTCTAGAGGTTAAGCGTCCGTGAGCGAGACCGATAGATCGCGGGTTTGAATCTCGCAAGGCGGGATCGTGAATGCGCAGTTCTAAGGAGTCTCAAAATAGGACGAAACGGTCGTCCAGTGATTCCAGGTTTTCCATAGTGGTTTAGCTTCCATTAACTCATGATCTATAATATACACAAAAAGCTCCATCTAAAAGAGATTATTGAAGAATTTTCTGATTTTCTAGACATATATTTGATTTTATTTATTACAGTTTATTCAGCAGTATTAGCCGACTTAAACGTGATCCAAATGTGTTTATTTTCAACAAATGCCTCTATATCAATTCATTTGAAGATATTTATTATAGGTATAAAGTTTAAAAGTTATTAATATAGGTATCATTAACAAGGTTCGATTTGATGATTTCGAATAAATTGAGCATCAGGTAGATTGTTATAAACAAATAAACAATATATTTGTAATATCTCAATGAGTAGAAAAATTAGACTTTTCGACGTTTCGTGACTTAGTGTAAGCCACTTCTTCAGTGAATAAATAACCAAATTAAAATTAATTAGTAGCCTTTACGTTATAGCATAACAATCTCACTTAAAATTCATACTTCTCATTAGTTCTGCTATTTGGTTTACGTAATATTGTAAAATTAATTTTAATTTGGTATTTATTCTCTGAAGAAGTGGCTTACACTAAGTCACGAAACGTCAGAACATCTAATTTTTCCACTCATTGGGATATTACAAATATGTCTATTTATTTATTTATGTTATTAATATAATTTAGAATTGAATTCTGTTTATGTTTGTACTAGATATGTTAAATAATTATTTCATTGAATGATCAAGAAATTCATCAGATATCTCATTCACGAAAGTCTTCAACTATGTACAAGTAGTTTGTTGACATTTCAATTTGAAATTGATTACAATTTGTTTAAAAAAACTTGGCGTTCTCTGATGAACGATTCAGTTCTTAATTCACAAGTCAATATTTCAAAACTAACCAAAAATTAATAGATTTTATGCAACACAAAAAAATTGGCAAAGTATAATGAATTTCTTGTGCTGTGCGAATGGTGTCTCTCATTTTGTTTTACTAGAAATTAAACGGAACCACTATTTATATGTTTTGTCCAGAATCGTATTTTTGTAACAAATATGCAAATTCCTAATAGTAAATAAGATATATATTATCTGAGAGAGACATTTGAACACTTGTATCAAGGAATATGATATGTTTATAATAATGATTACTTACAAAAAACACAGTGAATTATGATATCAGATAGCAAAAGTTTTATTAATTAAATCCTTAGTTTGAGTGAGCGTAATTCACTGATTAACTAACTTTAGAAACCATAACCTTTAATAAATATGAGCTGTGATAAAGGTTTTTAAAGACAACTAGTACCCAGAAGTAACTAAGAAGAAGTATATCCATAAACGTGATAGTTCTTATTGTTATAGTGTAAGATATATCTGGATCATTTCTAGTAAGAGTTGTGATCAATGAGTAATCAAAAATTATTAATCGAAATATCAAACTGAATAATATTGATACGTTTCTTTTCGTTCTCTCAAGCTATCCTACTTTCTCACGATTTTATTCGATTAGTAGCCTTTACGTCATAGTATGAAAATCCCACTTAAATTCGTACTTCTCATTAGTTCTGCTATTTAATTTATATAATATTGTAAACAACGAACTTAACCAACAGATGTAGCTGGCGATGTATCACGTGGTAGATTGACTAGAGGAGTGAAGAGAACGTTTAATGCAGCCAACCTATGTCTATCGTATTCAACCCGATCTATGGTGATTCCCCAACTAAAGAATAAATTACCTGGTTATGCCACTTCTATGTGTATTTACGAATTCAGCTGCTGCTGAGGAGAAAACTGTATTGGGCGCACAACCCGACAATTGAACCAAAGAACTAGTGAATACCTACCTTCGTGGTTAGAAAAAGGTAGTGTAAAGACAATATGCAGCTCGGTTTTATCACACTTGATCGATAGTGGTCATGCAGTAGACAGAAATAAGCCATTTAAAGTTATTTATCGTATTCCTACTAGTTTTCCTCATGGTGTTGGATCTCGTCTCTTACACATAGCAGAAGCTATAGAATTCGAGCCAGCAATCTAAGTCTTTGTGTTCATAAGAAATTTGTAACACTCTTATCTCTCCTAAAACCTTAATAAATGATTTTATTTATTGTTATTTTCCATACTGTTTGTTTGTTTATTTTTCTTCACCCTTTCTCACCATTTTCTTTTCTCAAATATGCGCTTCATTGCACAATTATCTGAACATCTCTTATTACGTTATCTTATAATCTTTTTATAAATTTTATTTCAGTGTCTATATTTTTCTTTTTATTGACCTATTTCCGATTATGTAACATTAATTGAAGCCTTTATTATTCGTATCAAAACTAGTACACCTGTCATCACAGTACCAATTTGTACTTTTCAATTATTATGTTTATTTATGTAATTTATCCCATTATTATCATTGACTCATAAACTGCCTTGATTAGTTTAATAATTTTGTAGATGCATATAAATATTACTGTATATATTAGAGTATAGCCTGATGAGGATCTCATTGGAAACAATATTGTTCACTTATATATATTGTTCTAGATTTTTCATTCTGTGCCTATAAACTCTGAGACATATTCACATAAAACATATGATGAGTAGTCCAATTTATATTATGAATTTGTTTATTATTCACCATTATTGGTTGACTGAACTTTTCTTTATCTTCATTGAAGACAATATGAACAAAATTGACTAATTAATCTTTCATACATTGCTGAATTTTGATAATGCATTACTTACTTATTAAATACATTGTGTTTTATGCTTGAATAATTGAATTTTAACACTGAAAAATATGGCAAATTTATCTTAGTTAAAATTTAAATTCATTTTAAAAGATCTACAAATAAATAGTTTGCTACTATGCTTCATCTTCAATACTTTCCTTCTTTTCTTTATTCTTTTAAAATGCGTGACGGAACATGAATAAATATCTATTGAACTGTATATTAAAGAAATTTTATGTCGTGGTTATAGTTTGTTGATTATTTTTTCTTCAATACAAATGAATAAAATGTGATAGTAAACTAAATCCTGATATTTTGTATTTATCATTATTAGTAATGAGCAAACAAGAAAGGATAATTACACTCTATACTTCTAACTTATGAACTATTTTCAGTATAGGATTGTGAAGACTGTTGAGTTTAGGTTGATATCATGATGGATCAGTGCTAGGTCACTGCTTAAACCTTGTAGGCACTGGATGGCTGTTTCGTTCTAGTATGGGACTTCTCAGCAGTGGTCTACAGGTTTGTACGCGAGACCGAAGATCCTGAGTTCGAGTCCATTGTGCGGAATTCTGTATGCTCATTGATGAGGAGTCCTATACTAGGACAAAACGTCCATCCAGTGCTTCCAGGTTTTCAATAGTGATCTGACATTGATCCATTCGTTATATCAATCTGAACTATTTTCAGTTAATCATTTATTATTAACCATTCAATCGTTGTAAAATTTCCTTTTGATATTTGACATTTTCAAGCACTTTGTAATGGGATCCATTGTAAAGTTTAATGAGGTGTAAGTTATGTAAAGCATTCCAATCAATGACTGAAATACTGTGTGAGAATGGCCGATATGCAAATATGGAAAAAAAAATCTATGAATTCATTGATTTCTACTTTGAACCGTGTTGGTACATTCAACTGTTTATGGGTATATTATAGGAAGTGTATTTTGCTTTGACTTTTAAAATTACGTTTCAATTAGTCATTTTATCTTAAGAAAGCATTTTACACAATTAACACAAATATCATTTCTAGATGTAGACGACTATCATATCTAGAAGCAGAAACGAAGTTTTGAAATTTCTTTTGTTCGACAATATCATTTTAAACAGTAAAATATTTCAGTATTCACTTTCGGTTTTCGTTTAATTATCTCGATATTTTAGTTACATGACTTGATACAACATGCTTTTACTTAGTTTCAGTTACGGAGACAACCCAATTTAGCCTAACATTGATTGTATGAACTATCTTAGACAATATTTGATATAAAACTATCGATAAAAAAGTAATATCATGATCACAAGATGGGACTAAATCGATACTTGTTTAATGTTGTATTCAGTGGTAGCGATTTTCTT